GTCGACGATGGGGAGAAAAAAAAATAATCAACTAAAAGGGATTAGGAGTTGATGTGATGTCGAAAGCGAAATTGAGAACAAAAATGAAAAGAAGAAGAAGAAAAATTTACTTGGTGGATAAATGATTATTTTGGACAGAATACCAAGAGAGCAGGAATTTTGACGAATGAAAATTTTTTCGTGTGATGAGATGAGAAGGAAAGGAATGCAAAGCGGCCCAAAAAATAACAACACTTAGTACTCGTATGAGTAACAAGGCATTTACTTGTATATTGAACAAGGAAGCCGGGGGCGTAACACGCCAGACATCAAAAGGTGAAAACATGATAGAAAAAAAGAATATTTTTAATCCATCTATCCATCTACATCTCTCTAACATAACCATTTCCTTTTTATTTTCTTCACCACTCCGCCACCTCACCCACGCCCGGCTTCGCCGCTCTAACAACCTTGTCGCAATTCAGCAGACACAGGGGATCAAACGCCTTTTTAAGCTGTCTCATTGCATCCACTGTTTCGTTTCCCAACTCATGGGGCAGGTAGTCACGTTTGACGATGCCGACACCGTGCTCGCCCGTCGCGGTGCCTTCAAGCTCAATAGCGCGCTTGACCATTTCGTGCACGAGATGCGAAGCTTTGTCGAAGTCGCGATTGCGGTCGTATAGGATAATCGCTGTTTCGTTGTTAATAAAAACAAAAGACATCAAGGGAAGAAGCTAAGGAAAAAAAGGAAGAAGGGGGGGTAAAAACTTACAGTGAAAATTTCCATCACCAACATGACCGACGATACTAGCCAGCAACCCACTTTGTGCAATCTTCTGTTTCGACTCTTCAATAATTTGCGGGAGTTTAGAAATGGGGACTGCGACGTCGGTAGTCCAGACGCCAATATTTGGGTCTCCTTTACCCTTCGCCATGACGCTCCACAGGGCTTCTTTCCTCGCCTGCCAAAGATCCTCCTTTTCCTGTTCTGATCTTGCAAACTCGAAGCTGACGGAGCCGGATTTCTTGGCCAGGGTCTGGACTTGAGCGATTTGTTCTTTGACGGCGCTTTGGGTGCCCGCAAACTTGAAGAAAAGCGTGGGAGCGTTTTTCCATGTTTTTGCGGTTTGGCCGGCGTCGTTGATGCATTGCATTTGGACTTCGTCGAGGATCTCGATGGCGGCGATGGGGACGCTGGCGCCGACGACTTTGAAGACGCATTCGGCTGCGGCGCGGATGGAGGGGAAGGCACATACGGCTACACTGGTGTGTTGGGGCCTGGGAATGATTTTCAGAGTAGCTTCTGTGACCAGACCCAGGGTACCCTCGCTTCCAACAAACATGCGCGTAAGATCGTAGCCTGCAGAAGATTTTCGTGGCCGTTGCCGGGTCTTGATGATTGTTCCATCAGCCAGTACAACAGTGAGCGACACAACCCAATCTTTCATTGTGCCATAGCGGTATGCGTTTGTGCCTGAGCAACCTGTACCAACCATACCACCAATCATTGCGCCTGGACCTGGATCGGGAGGAAAGAACAAGCCATCCTTTGCGAGCTCCTCGTTGAGGTATTCCCACCCGACAGCGGGCTGAACAACCACATCCAGATCTTCCTTGTGAAGGTTTATAATTTTATCCATGCGACTGAAATCGATGCAAACTCCTCCTCTCGTTGCGGCAAAATGACCCTCTAAACTTGTTCCCCCGCTGTATGGTGTGACGGGAATTTTTCGCTCATGGCAGACCTTCATAATGGCACTGACTTCCTGAGTGTTTCCTGGCTTCACAACGCAAAATGGTACGTCACCTGGCGACGAAGGATGTGAAGACCACGATGAACCACTGTGCGATTCGAGATCATGCCTGTCCAGCGTGATGTTTTCTCTCCCTACAATGTCGCGGAAATCGGTCCACGCCGCTTCCATGTTCGCCTCTGAGATGTTGTGCTTAGGAGGAACAAAGGTCTCGAGTGGTGCGGTAGAGCTCGTGTCTGGCTTGGGTGGTATCAATTGGCCGTAGTAATAGCCTATGCTCGCGGTAAGGAGACATGCTGGTTTTTCAAGTCAGTTCAGTCCAAGGGGGGTTTTTTTTTAAAAAAAAATGCAATGGTTCGATACCGAAGACGGTCGCAAAGAATTGTCCCCGTGCTGTTCTTTGCTGCAGCGACTGAATCCTAATCTGCTCGGCCTTTTCCTTTTGCACACGCTCGTAGATACTCTCGTTTAGTTGGAGGTAGAAAGGTCTCTCTTCATCCTTTCCCAATTTCTTGTTATCGCTCGCCCATCGTCTTTGCGCCGTTGCGCCCACACGCGCGCTTACTCCGCATTGCCTCCATATCACATTTGTATGCGCATTTCTCAGCGCAATGGAGCCGCGCGGTAGGCTTCGTAGAGGCATTGCGGTTATGAAGACAGTGATTTCATGTCGGGACTGTCGGGGAAACGGGTGCGGGGAACGCGATGGCGAGTCTCAAGCGTCGGATGGTGACAGCGGTGCCAAGACAAGCTTAAGTCCGCCCTCGATGCTGCAGATCCCTGTTCATGCAGGCAGCCTGTCACCATAACCGATGATCTCATCCATGTCGACGCGGAGAAGCGGATGTATGCTTTGTTTTGCATGGAACTTTGTTTTGATTGGAGTACGCACACGTCACGGCGCAGTTTCCAGTTTGAAGCATATGCACTGGTCATTGTTACTTGGAGAAGAGACAAACAGATGGAGAGCAAACAGAATGCAATTGCGAGCTCAATGACTGAAGCCAGAGCGAGTTATCCAAACTAGAAACAAAATAAACAACCAAACTCCAAACCTAATCTAACCTGCCGTGCCGCCAGGCATGCAGTGATTCAACGAGTGATTGTCAAAGCTTCCAACGCCTGTGTAGGATAAAGATATGCAAAATGATGAGGTGGTTCCTTTGGAGCCAGATCTTGCCAATGCGCCTGCCCAAAGAATGAGTCCCTAACAATGCCCGCAAGATATGCAGCATGGGTTTTGGTGGGGGCATATGTCGTCAAAGGCCGTAATCGTTACGCCATGCTAAAGAAGGAAAAAAAAATGTAAAAAAAATATGTATAACTGAAGATGGGGTATAAAAAAAGCAAAGTGTACACCCGTGTGATTTCTAGGGTACCGTCAGTGGCCGTGTGCACTGAGGTGATAGAGTGTCGGTGAGTAGACGCTGCCAGGTGGAGGCCCACACAGTAAGGTAACGCTAGCTGCATATATGCGTGGCAATGCATGCAAGTAGACGACCTGGAACAAACGCCTATTTGCCCGATAGACGAAGCAGCCTTGTCTTGAGCCAGGTAACAAATCTGAGCCATCTTCCCTTGATAGCACGGCGCTTGCTGACCTTTGGTACTGCACTCATGGCTGACTTTTCCGGGTCGACGGTAGTTACGAGCTTGGGCAACGAGTGGGAGTGAGCCTGTCGGTGATCAGAGTATTGACGGCCGCCTATCGAGGGTCGGCCGCCAACAGAGGGTCTAGGTGTTTTTTCGCTCTCGTCGGATGTGGTGCGGGTGCGGTTCATTTCGTTGCGGTCCAGAGTCTCGGACTTGCGTCGCTGCAAGTCTTCTTTCTTGAGCTGCTTGCGGTAGTCACGCTCTTGCTGCTTGTGTGCATCCTTTTCGTACTTTAGCTCCTTGGCTCGTTGCTCTTGCTCAAACTTTTGTCGGGCAGCGCGGATGGATGCAGCTCTTGACGCGGGATCCACAGGCGAGTCGCGACCGCCACGTATGAAGCGGTAAGCCTGGTCGAACGAGGTGCGGGAGCTGGGTGATGTGGTTGTGTCGATGGATTTGAGCGTGTCACCGCGTGCTCTTGGCGGGCCGGCCGGGGAAGTGAGTGAGGCTGTGGATTGGGAGTAGGTGGCAGCAAGGCGAGTGGATGAGTTGTTGGTGTGGAGGCGGAGGGATGTTCCTTGTGCCGAGGACATGGACCCAGATCGACGTGTGGGATCATACGAGTTCTGCTTCAAACGAACTTCGTCGTCGGACATGATATCATCGCCCTCAAGCTCGCTTCCTAGGATGGACGAGGGCGACGAGCCTGCTATTGGCGGTGAGAAGAGTTGAGGTGTTTGGCGAATGGAAGGCAAAGGAGTCGGGCGGGGGCCTGAGGAGGCCGAGTACTGTGACTGGTTGGAGGTGGAACGGCTGTGTCTGTTGCGAGGGTTTACGGGAGTGAAGTTGACTTCGGATATGGAATGCGAGTAGGCGCCGTACTCTAGGATGCCCAGCCCCGTCAAGTCGTTTTCAGCAGCAGGTCGCGAGAGATCCAGACCGCTGGTTTCCTTGGAAGAGAGCTTGCGCAGGTAGGGCTTGATCTTGAGCGGGTGGGCAGAGGCAGCGGCAGGCATGGGGCGTTGAGGTTCGATCCAGGACTCTTCGTAGACGTTTGGCGTGTTTGAGCGGTCAAAGGTGAAGGCCCCATAGTCGGCGACGGGACTAAGGGAGCTGGGTGCAGCCGAGGCCGAATGGCCGCGTTTGTGCAGACGCGCATGCCTGGCGGACATGGTTGGCGAGAGACGGTGAGAGAGAGGCGGTCGCGGGTGTTATCGAAGCATGTCAGTGTAGGCGGGTTGCAGGGTGTTTGGGGCGATGGGCAACAGCAGGCTGGGGAGCAGTTTAAGCATGAGGCATCGGCAAGCCAACTTGGAAGACGAAGGTGTTCCGAGTGGTTCCGCGGCAGGCAGGCAGGAAGGGAAGAGGGTTATGGATGAGTGACGAAACGACTGTGTCGGGCCCAGGCTGGGGGGGGGCGGCGAGGGCGGCCTGGGAATGAATCCGGGGCAATTCCAAGGTAGCAGTAGCAGCAGCAGCAGCAGCAGCAGCAGCAGCAACAACAACAGACGCGGGTCGATGGCGCATGCACCCAGGCAAGCTGGATGGTTTGCCAGGCCGTTGGACGTCTCCTGGCTGGCGGGCCCGCTGGGATGCTGGACTGCCTCGAGCGCTGCCTCGGCCCCGAGCGCCTTGTACTAGTCGTGCGATGGGATGGATGTGGAAGCAGATATGGCCACTCAGTCCGGGACGCGGCTAGGCCACACGCAACGGGGATCGATGATGGCACCGCCAGTGACGAGATGGACCACGACCACTCAGGCCGCGCGCCGCCATGGGGGCGTCCGGTGCTTAAATGAATGCGCGGGACGGGTACAAGGCAAGGTCAGAGTGGCGCTGGCGGTGGGATGCAGAGAGGGCAAGCCGGCTGGAGCGGAGTCGCCGTTCGATAAGCCGCAAAGATACAGTCACCCTCACGGCCATGGCCCGTGGCTGTGTGTGCCCTCCATCCCCACCGCTCGCACTCGCACTCGCACCAGAAAAGAGGTGTACGCGCCGCCCGCCTCCTCTTTTGCCCCCGCCCCCTCTCTGCTGCGACGCCTGCCCAGCTCGCCAGCCTGCGCGGCTGCGTGGCACAGCATCGTCAACACCAGGCCCGGCAGGGAAGACGCCTCGCTGGGCTGCGCAGTGGTGCTGAACCGCGCGTAATCATGAGACGTCAGGTGCCCGGCTGTAGTGTCGACACAGTACGCCCCATGGCCTCGTATGCATCGCATAGACGCCGCGACTGGGCCTGGTGCCGATGCTCCCACCCGACTCGCCATCAACCCCATCGCCCTCGGACATGAGGCCTTGCGCAGCGTGCAGGGTGCTGAGAAACACATCCATCAGCTCTGTGTTATCGCTGCGGCGCACCACCTCGCCTTACCCCGCCATTCCTACCCAAGGCTGACCCTGTCCACCTCCTCTAGCATACCACACTATGCCTCCCGCCGCCATCCTCAACAAAACCCGTCCCCACGCGGAGAGGGGCTCTCCCACTTGCTGCCTGCCGAGCACACGGCACACCGAGTCAAGCCTGTCCAGTTCACTACGCACTCTGCTCTACATAGTACAACCAGACCAGGTTGCAGTCGCCCTCACGTGCACGCCATCAATCCACCGTCTGCATCCTGAAACACGCTTCTCGATACCCCACACTGCCTCTTGCGCACCCAACCAATACTTATCACGCCTCTTGACCACTGCCACTGCGGCAGAGAACCACTTCTGACGCGTCTGGACCAGGGTCAGGACCAGGACCAGCTCCCGGTGAGACAGTACATACCCCGCAACACATGCCTACGGACGCCGAACACATTTTGTTGCTACGCCAACTATTGCCTCTGCGCACGACGAGGCTCTCTCCCCGCTGGTCTAGACTTGAGCAAGTTTCTCTTTGATTATCCCCCCCACGGCCCATGTACTCCAGCAGATATGGCCGTATCTTGCCGCGGACATTACACAGCCTGAAACTCCGCAACAGCACGTGCTAGCTTCCTCTGCAGCTAGCGAGCGGTTTGTAGACTCGAGTAGTGCAGATAAGTAGGTGTAGTGTGAGTATAGCCTCTGAAACTGAAATGGCGCGTCCCTTAGTATGGAGATATTATACCGGCTCAACGGCAGCTTGTAGATCATTGCGGCCTCTAGTTCGCGTTGGGGATTGGGGTTCTGAAAACTGGTATTCTGTGGTGGCTTTCATATCTTGGGACCAACACGTGACGTTATTCGCAAGTATTCGCGACCACTTGCTCGCGCAACAATGGGGCGTCCTGGAGCAACCATGACCTGTGCCAGGGACTACCCTGAAAAAAAAAACAGGGTCCCAATGACGACAGCCACGCATATCTGAAATCCTGGTGCGGTTGAGTTTGAACGCGTGCAGAACGCATCACTATGATTGCTGCAGTGGGCCAGTGTAGGTAGTAGATACAAGGATCAGGACATCGTTCTGACCGGATGACGCCATAATGACTTAGCGAAACACGATGCATCTTTTTTGGAACACCCATCGCCCTAGTCTACTCTGTCAACGAACTCTATATCGCGCTGAGCTGAACAACAGAGTACGAGCGCCTCCAAGAGCTGCGTCGAAACTCTGGTTATAATAATAGCATCAAAGCGTGTGCTGACCACGCTGTGCATGTCGGGGCTGGACAATGGTGGCCATGTCTGCAATACAATGTAGCATTGATTAAGCCACCGCTCAACCGATTTTGCAGAATTTTAGCCTCGAGCCCATGCTGCATCGTTCGCTTGCGAAAGAAAAAGAAATGTCGCAAATGTCGATGAACGCTCAAGCGAGGCCCTACATTTCTCCGATGGACAAGCAGTGTCTGTTTTTTTTCTTTCACGGACAAGGGGCTCCTGCGCTAGCAGTCAATAAAGTCTCGTTGCTAGGTGGCTGACTAAGGCCTCCCTGACGTCGAGCACGGGTCGCAGGGAACACCAAAAACATCCTATCCCAAAACCTGCGCTACCCACCACACGCGTCTCATGGCGTTGTAGCCCAAAACCCATTCCGACCGCAACCATCACTTTCTGTCCCCAAGTGATCGCGACCATGTCGACCAACAAGAGGGGCAACATCTTCGGCCAGGGTAAGCCTGAGCGCCCATACGAAGAGCGCGACGAACCCGCAGATGTCCCTCAGCGGGCAACAGCAGCCCAGCTCGCCGCACGAAAGTAAGATATTCATCTCCCGGCATGCATCTCAACGCTCCACTACAAGTCTGTGTCGCGATGATGTGCTTTGTACATGATAAGCTGACGTTTTTTTTTCAACAGAATCAAAACCGCGAAAGCCCGACGACCAGCAGGCGCCTCCTCCGTGAGTATTTCGACATCCATTTCAAGCCTCCGCTCCCCGTTCATACCGCAGCGCAAGCATGGCGATAAGACGCTTTAATCCCGCGAGACGGCGCGAAACACATGGCAGAAAGATGACATTCGCTAATACACGCGCAAAGGGTCTATCACAGAGCGCAAACTTTGGCGCACCACAGCAGAATGGCTTCAACTTCGGCGCCTCGGCACCTGCTCCTGCAAACGGCGGCACGAATGCCTTTGGAGGCTTTGGGGGAAACAATGCTTTCGGTGGCGCTAGCGCGACGAGCAGTTTTCCACCTGCTCAGCCCGCAGCCCCAAGCAGTACCTTTTCCAGCTCATCTTTTCCAGCATTTGGAGGCAGCAATTCAGGAACAGGCACAGGCTTCAATCCTCAGCCGCCTTCATCCGCGGGTTTCAATTTTACAGCAGGAGGTTCCAACCCATTTGCGACAGCGAGCTCGGCGCCTGCGACAAACGGCAGCACGCCTGCGCCCGCACCCGCGTTCGGAGGATCAATATTCGGCAACTCACAAACACAGAGCAATCCCTTTGGTGGACTAGCACAGAGCAGCACGTCAAGTGCAGCCCCATCAACCAGTATTTTCGGTACATCGAGCGCCGCACCCTCCGGTGGTCTGTTTGGTACTTCGAGCGCTGCGCCTTCGGGCGGCCTATTTGGCACTACCAGCGGCGCTGCAAACGCTCCAGCAACCACCGCCCCGGCCTCAACACCATTTACCTTTGGCGCTACCAGCTCATCGGCTCAGAACACTGCAAGCACGCCAGCAACAAGCGGCATTTTCAGTAGTTTCGGCAACTCCACGCAGACAGCCCCACCAGCACAAAACAGCATTTTCAGCAGTTTCGGCACGAATGCACAGAAGGAGGAAGCCCCCAAAGAGCCAGCTGCATCCCAGAATAGCATTTTTGGTGGCTTTGGTTCAAACGCGCAAAAGACTGATAGTGCTACGGAGACACCCAAGCAGAATAATATATTCGGGGGTCTAAACACAGGTGCACAGAGCACGCCGAGTGCTACGGCATCTGGATCAGGTCTGTTCAACTTTGGCGCATCGGCTCAGAAGACGGACGGAGCGGCGCCTTCAGCACCATCTACTGGCTTGTTCGGAGCTTCCACTTCGGCTACACCAAGTGCCAAGCCCTCCGCACCCGCCGACAACCCCTTCGCAAACCTCCCGACTGCAGCGGGCGCATCTACTCCATTCAAAGGATTCGGAGCAACATCACAGACGCCTCAGGCTCAAGAGAAGACTCCAGCCCCCTCAGCGAACCTGTTTGGTAACCTGAACAAGCCAGAGGAGTCTAGCACCACTGCTGCACCAGAGACACCCAAGTCGAACCCATTCGCGTCTCTTGCAAAGCCAGCTACTCCTCCAGCTGCTGCTCCGGCAGCTACTAGTTCTGGATTTAGCTTATTTGGAACTGACAAAGATAAGGATTCAAGTTCGGCAACACTCAAGGCTCCTGAAGCATCCAAATCGAGCCTGTTCCAGCCTTTCAGCACTCCACAGCCAGCAAAGACTGCCGATGCGGAAAAGCCACAAGGTGGACTGTTCAGCGCGGCTCAACCAAAGACCAGCTCCGGTTTGTTTTCACAGACATTCCAACCCGAGGCCAACAAATCGAGCAACCTGTTCAGCAAGCCTCAGTCCAGCTTCTCGTCTTTCACACCGTCTGCAACTTCTTCAACAGAGGCACCAAAGGCTCCTGCTGCGGCGTCTCCTTCTTCTGAAAAGTCCAATCCGTTTGCCTCCCTGTCAACCCCTTCAACAGATCGACCCAATCTGTTCAGCGCTCCCAAGGAACCTGCCCAAGTCTCCCCTGCACCAGCCATGCCCAACCTTACAGGCAGCTCCACGGTGTCGAACGAATCACAGCAAACACCAGAGATCCCCAAGGTTCCCAAGGTACACGTCCCTAAAGAATGGTCTGTACCGGGTGTTGTTCGCGCACAGAGCGGTGATAGTCTATTGAAGCAAATCACGGACTTGACTGCTCAACTTCAAGTTTTGAACGGAAAGTACCGACAGCAGATTAGTACTCTTCCTCCCACGGCAGACTGGTCGAGTGTGTCCCTTTGGCACTACCAGCATTCCACCGACATCAAGAAGAAGATTGACAACGCGAAAAAGCAACGTGCAGCTAGCCGCGGTGTCACTGGAACTGAATCCAGTCTGTCGACTAAGCGCAAGGCTGATGAAGATAACGTCGAAGCCCGTGATCCTTCTCCAATTAAGCGATCTCGTCCAGCCGAGACACCTGCGAGCCCGACACCTCAACCTTCTGCTTCTACTCCAAAGCTGAACCCGCCAGCAACGGCAACATCGAACATGTTTGCCAAGGCAATCGGTAACAAGCCTTCCACGCCTTCTGCTCCCTCTACGTCGTCAACAAATCTGTTTGCTCCAAAGACGGCTGAGAATTCCAGTGAAGAACCTGCCAAGGCAAATGCACCAGCTACTGGTTTTGGTTTCAGCCCGTCACTGCCCGCCACCAACGGTGCAAGCAGCTCATCCACTTCGTCCGGATTCAAGCCTACGTTCGGCAGCACGCCCAGCAGCGCTTCCGGCTCAACAGGGTTCAAGCCCAATTTTGGTAGTGCTCCGGGAGGAGGTGGTTTTATGGCGCAATTTACCAAGACGGCGAAGACTTATGACGAGCTTGCTGCCGAGCGTAAGAAGAAGGCTATGGAAGAGGACTACGATTCTGACGAGGAAACTGAAGAGCAATGGTCTGCCAGGTATGACAAAGCTGAAGAAGAACGTCGTGCTGAAGAAAAAAAGAAGGCTGCTGCCACTCCTACATTCACATTTGGTGCCTCGGCTAAGCCAGACGCACAGCCATCAGGCAGCACCCCGAAATCTAATCCTTTCTCTGGCCTGCTGAAGCCCACAAGTGGTGCATCTACGCCTGGGGGCTTCACTCCCAAGGATGTTAGCCCTGCTCCATCTACAGGTGGGCAGTCTGTCTTCAATGCCCCAGCCGCCTCTCCAGCTCCTTCTTCCAACATCTTTGGCCATCTCTCTTCGGGCCCTTCCTCAAACAACCAGGATGAGTCCGATGAAGATGACGGCGAGCAACAAGAGATTGCTGGGTCTGTAGAGCCGGCCACCCCGAGAGGCAATTTTGGAGAATCTGAGGCGGAGTCAGAAGAGACGCAGGAGCAAAAGAAGCCAAACACTAGTTCCAAGGGAAGCCTTCTTTCCAGGATCACCCGCGACAATGACTCCGAGTCTGAGAAGGAGAACAATGGCATTTCCTCTACGGCGGCGACCAACGGAACTACTACGCCTACCAACAAGCCCTTCCAATTCTTTGACTTTAATGCAGCATCCAAGACCGCCCCGCCCAAGTCGGACACATTTGCAGGCGATCAAACTTTCAAGTTTGGTAGCCCTATCAAGTTTGGACAAGCTCCCGCTACGGAGAAGAAGGATGCACCTAAGTTCCAGTTCCAGCCTGCTACACCATCGCCAGGTGAGGGGTCGACAACGCCGGCGAAGCCACCGCCTTCTTCCATTTTCAACTTTGCCTCAACCGGCGGCTCATCATTGTTTGCCCCATCCGGTGGTAACTCTATCGGCTCTTCAGTCTTTTCTTCACGTGCTGGAACGCCCCTGTCTGAAGCTGGCGAGACTAGTGCAGCCTCGGCCGCAGAGGATGAAGAAGGCGAAAAGCATGAACAAATCGACCTCTCCCAACTCACCGAAGAAGAGCTCAACACCTACGACATTGTCTTCCACACTGATGTCGTCCTTGCCAAGCACCAGGTAGACAAAGATGGAGAGAAGGCCTGGGTCAACCTTGCCAAGGGGCCGCTTTGGATTCTCAAGGACAAGGAGACTGCTAAGTGCTCTGTCCGCGTCCGCATCCCAAGTGGCGCTACGCCTCTGAACTACCAGATTCTGCCTTCACTCCCTGCTACGGTCACCGGCTCTAGCAAAAAGATGGTCATGGCGACGAAGCCCGCAAAGGAAGGTGGACTGCAGTCGGTCATCTTTGCTGTCAAGTCCCCTGAGATTGCAGTAGAGATGGCTGCAAAGTACACCGAGTCGGTTCCTTCCCCCTAAGCGACAAAACTTCACTTCAACCCTGCTGCACACTTTGTATGTGTGAGGCAGACTCTTGAGCCTATCTGGGCTTTTTTCGACATTACTTTTTCAATCCTGAACTAACCGGTTACGTTTTCACCCTTTCCACACGTATGCCCTTACCAAAATTGGCGCCCTTTCCCCAACATCCCAGCGAGTGATTTATTCGATTTGTTTTTCTTGTAGAGAAGGATTGCTGCGTTTACCCATCGGAATCAAGCATTGCATGACACGGCGTTTTTGTTGGCCCCCTTACCCCTTAGTTTAGTTGAATTACGGATGAGAGGAGTGTTTAATGCGAAATAGCAGTGATGAGGGCCCCCATTGACTTATTTGTCTTATGTAATATATCAAGTTCATCCTTTTTCTGAATCCATGTACAGGCATCCTGGATTGTTTTTTGGTTTGAGCGTACGTTTCACTCTTGTTGTGTCAAATTTAGACATTCCATCTGTTCTTGAACTTTATCAACGTCCTCGGTTGATTTCAGACATGAAGCGTTTGTACCATGCACTTGTTATCGCAGTATGGCTGGTAAATCGAAGACCAAACTTTAGTCATGTTTACCTGAAAGATGAAAGTAAAGACAGCCACCTCAAAGCTGTAACCTAAGATGTTGTTCTTCTGGCTTCTCATTTGTGGTTGTGTCGACGTCTCTCTACCCGTGCGCGCGTCATGGACCACTCGCGTGGATGACAGCGTTTCCCCCCAGCCTCCAACCTCTATCTCTAACAGCCTTGTCTACGCGCGATGCCGCCTTGGATGTGTGCAAACGCCGGCGCATTGAAATTATTTGCGCGCAAATACTACTAGGAAAGAAGAGAAGACACCCCCACATCATGGACGAGCCCTCGTCCCAACTACACTTGGAGATCCGCGACGCCGTTGTTCGCGCTCTCGCAACGCGCCGCCCAATCCTCCACCACCTCAATGCCGATACCTCCTGGCTCCTTCAAATACCCCGTCCCGCAAACGCAGTCAAACACGGCGCCCGCATATACTACAACATACTGATCGACCCGTGGTTCGTGGGCGGACAAAGCGATGTCGCAAAGTGGTTTAGCCAGCAATGGCACGCGACGGAGAGCGCGGTAAAGAGCATTTCCGAAGTGGAGGAACTAGCGCGACAAGTCGAGATTCTAGCCGGAGGCTTCAGACCAGGCAAGAGCAGGAAACGAAAAGTAGAGGCCATAGAAGATGAGGAGAGTTATGTGGACTGCGTAGCCATCAGCCATGAATTCACTGATCACTGCCACAAAGAAACACTTCTCGAAGTCCACGGCGACGTCCCCGTCTTCGCAACAGAGGTACGTACTTTTTTCTCTCTATACGCCGTATCCAAAGAAGAAGAAGAAAAAAGCTAACAACCCACCTCCCTTGACATTTAGCAAGCCGCCAAACTCATCTCCTCATGGTCCCACTTCCGCACCGTAGTCACGACCCCAACCTTCCCCTCCAACGCCGACTGGCACGACTACAGCCTCCCACCTCTCCCCTCCTGGCTCTCCATCTCACGCCTCACGGAGCCCAACGACGCCCTCTTCTACCACTCGGCACTCCTCATAACCTTCTCCACGCACCCCTTCCTCTCCAGCTCCACCCCACGCAAGCGCCTCTCCACCCTCAGCATCAACGGCGACGGCGCCGAGCAAGACTTCTCCACCACCTCCCCTTCGACCAGCGAAGCCGCCGAATGCGTCATCTACACCCCGCACGGCATCCCCCACACCGCCCTCGAACCCATTGCCACCGCCGAGCCCGCGCTGCATACCCTCGCTTTTCTGCACGGTCTGCACGACGTCTCCATCTCGGCGGCCCAGCAGTTGAATCTTGGTGCCAAAAACGGCGTCAGGGCCCAGAGGCTGGTCAAGGCAAAGTATTGGGTTGCCACCCATGATGAGGTTAAGAAAGGCGGCGGCTTGGTTAGTTGGTTTCTGCGCAGGAAGGTCTGGACCGTCGAGGATGCGTTGAGGGAGGTTGGGGCCGAGGCTGAGGTTCACGATGTCAGGTTTAGGGAGGTGCGCAATGGCGAGAGTAGGGTGCTTGAATAGATGGATTCCTTTTTTCCCTCCCCCCCCCCCCGCCTCCTTCTTTGTGTGTGTTGTTTGGGAGGAAAGAGTTTTTTTTATTTTTATTTTTCAAAGTTGTGAATATATATATATATATATTTCCATTTCCNCATATCCCCTTTTTTTTCTTGTCAAACCCTTTTGTAACGTCTTTTTTTTTTTTGGGGGGGGGGGGGTTGCTTTTAGATTATGTTGGAAATGGATAGATGTGGAGCCCATACACCCAATATCCCTCCCTCCACCCTCCATTCAACCATACCTTTTCACTCTCCTTCCACCCTACGCATTCGAAGCCTAATTTTCGTATCAGAGCTAGACTCCCTGCGTTCTCGTCATCTACCGCCGCTTCCACGTAACTCGTCCCTTTTCCCCCGCGCTGCTGCCTTATGGCTGCGCAATAGGCATTGAGTAGGCCGCGATTCGCTTCAGTGCCGTAGCCCCTTCCCCACGCTGTAGGAAACATGGCGTACCCCAGTGCGCGAAGATTGACGTCTTGTTCTCCACTTTCTTCATGCTCTTCGGGACTGGGGGAGACAGTGTGGCGGCGAGGAGGAGGAGGAGGAGGAGGAGGAGGGAGTGTGGGACCCGAGTGTTGAAGGCGCAGGCTTACGCTTCCGATGTGAACTCCCAATTCTTCCTTTTCGTCTTCCTCTCCGTTGTTACTTTTTCTTTCTGTTTCTGTGGCTTCGACCAGGACGTCCCGCATCGTCCAGATCTTCTCGCCATTGCCGCCATGGTGCGGTGTACGCGCGAATACGGCGTAGAAGTAGTTGTCGAATCGGTCGAGGGATTCGATCATCCACTCCCGGCTTTCGTCTAGCGATTTTGTGGCGCCGCGGAGGGACCAGGCGGTTGCGGTGGGGTTGGACCAGTTTTCGTGGAAGAGCTGAACGTGCGGGTGGGATGGGCGCGTGTTTGTAAGGCGGAGGAGGGTGAGACGCTCTGTGGAGATTTTGGAGGGGAGCATGGTTGGTTTGGGAGATTTAGGAGGGTTTGAAGAAAAGTGGTGGGAGATTATTGTGATGGTGTATAAGGGATTGTTTTGGATGTGGTAATGTAAGAGCTAAAGGAGTTATTTGTATGAGGGTGTGAGTCAAGATTTGGAACATTGAAATGTTTTTTTTCTCCTTGTAGCCATCGTTATGGAGATGTGGAAGGCTAGGTTGAGGAGTATGTTTTGTCATCGGGTTGAAATTAGGTCGTGGTTGTCGATGCGAGATGAGTATAAACGAGACGGCAGCATTGTGTCTCATTGAGTCTTCTCCAAGACTTCTCTAACACATCTTGTCAAGTTTTTGCTTTATTTCTTTGAAATTCATCATTTGTCTTAGAAGAAAGTGTTCATAAAGAAAATACAAACAATTCGTAATCACACCTATCCCTCCTAGGTTGATGACTCACTATGCTACAACCTCAGTCATCAAGTCCTTTGGCCACCTCGGTTGATCCACTCCATTTCCTCTTGTCCCCACATTGAACCCCAACTTCACCTTGCCCTGCTTCCACTGAGCAATAGGTTTGACAACCTTAATATCCTTTCCAATAGCGCCCGAATACCGTACTTCAAAAAAGTCTGGGTTGAAGAGTATAGTGCTGGAATTGGCCTGGATCATCTTCATATAATGTATCAGCGTATACTGAATGTTATGATAATGCCGGAAAACCTGGCGTCCATTGCGGGTCCAGACATCCTCCCAGATATCTTTCGGGTACGTCCCAACGCTGTTGACAAGCCATTGGGAATAGTAATTCAACGCGACCTGGAAACGTCAACCTCAGAGCACACCATTGAGAACGAGGGAAAAAAAGAAAACTTACATCAACCTGATACGACCCACCCTCAGCACCTCGCTTCAACAGCGCATTCAGCACAGCAATCACACCCGCAACACCAGTGCAAAAATCGCTATTGGGAAAAATCGGCGTAACAGGCTCGTCATTTCCCATCGCGCGCCCAAACTCCATCGAAACACCACAGCACGCATCAGAAATCTGCTGCCACCCGCTCCGATGCGCCCAGGGTCCATACCACCCATAGCAATTCTCCCGCACAACAATCAATCCTCTCTCGCGCTCCTTCGTCAACTCGAGCAACCCCTCAACTGAGAACCCGTACTTATCCAGGACACCGGGCCGATATCCCTGAACCACTACATCTGCTTCGCGCACCAGCGCACGCAACTTCTCGCGGTCTTCTTCGCGCCGGAAATCGAGGTGCGAATTCCATTTTCCCCAGTTCAGACTAACGTGCAACGTCGAGATGTCCGCTAGATGCTCAGCTGTAACACGCATGACGGATGCACCAAGCTCAGCCAGCCCACTCGTAAGAACCGGTGCAGCAATGATCCGCGTCAAGTCGACGACCTTGAGCCCGGCCAGCGGGCGCTTCGGGCTGGTTTCCGGGCTATCCGGCCACCAGCAGGGTGGCTGCTTTGCGTTTTCCACCTTGTGGATTTCAAACAGGCCGACATGAGCGTTTGCTTTGCCGTGTTCGCTATTTTTGAATTCTTCGGTGGTCCAGCATATGGTGCCTGCTTGCTTGGATATGTCGGATGCAAGGCGTTGCATCTCGTGCGAGTCTATCTGTGCTACTTTTTCGACGTACGGGGCCCAGGGTGCGTCGAGAGCTGCGAGGTCCATGTCGTGCTGTAGACCAAGATAATCTTGTGTATGATCTGGGTTCATGGAGCCGTGAGTATGGAAGTAGCGGCCGTCCTTGCAGCGATAGATGTTTGTGGCTGAAGTACGGTATGCATTCCTCAGCATGTCGTATTTGTCGCAGTCTTTGAAGTACTTGTCATATGCGCTGTTGCTTTTTGATAGGGGTTTGCTGATGAAGTTTATGTTCTCGCCGTCTGGGTCGATGGCGGCGAGGAAGCCGGACATGAAGAAGAGTTGGGCGTGGTCACTTTAGGGGGTTCAGCGGTGGTCCAGCTGGATGGCTCGCACAAGACTCACGTGTCTATCTCGACTTCCTGAGGCTCGAGATTGTATTTTCTTTTCAGCAGGACGTTTACCATGGCGGCTTCCAGGCCTTTCAAGGCAGACATGCTTTCGGCAAAGCGCCAGTTGATGGCTAAACTAGGCGCATCGTTGCCTTTAAATTTGATTGTCTTTGCGCATTCTTCAATTTCTTGTGGGAGGTTGGGAGCAATGAGGGGATTTTTCAAGATACCGTTATCGAGTAGACTTCGTGCTTCGCGCGGAATCGAATAAGTGGATGAAGTGCCGTTGGTGACGCCATTGGCATGCCCGTTTGTCGCCATTGCGTTGTTGTGTTAGAATGGGTTGGGAGGGAACAGTGGCGGTGGTAGCAAGGAAGAGAGAGGGGAAGGATGACGGTTCAGTGTTTTGGTATAAATATCCAAATAATGATCATTTGTAGATGAATGTTGCATGTTGGTTTTCCGCGCTTTGAGTACTGCCCGTCGGCAAAACGGAAAGCCCCCACCTACCAGACGGTGTACCCTCCGAGATAGTTGGTAGGACGATACTGCAGGGTAAGCATTAAGGTACACGTTTGATAGCGATCCTAGAACCCATGAAAACTTGTTCGACATAAAAATTAATGCGCCCAGCTCAATTTCACCACGTGATGATTTGAACATTGATAACAACCTTGGTGGTGCAGTCGTTCATGCTGCACAAGACTAAGTATTCTTGGTGCTTGTCCAAGAGTCTCCAGTTTTGCCGATTAATCGAGAGGCTCCATCTACTGGATAGTCTCTAATGATCGAAGTATCCACCCGTATCTCGGGTGCCCGATCCGGCAATTAAGGCCTGTGACGGGTTACCTTTTCCTACGGGTGCCTCGACCAGCCGATGTGGGGCACCATACCATATCTTATGTACTGTGTTGACCCTTGCATAAGAACGTTCAATCGACCTCAAGCACGAGAAAAGTTGCTATACTGGAGAAGAGATGGCTGTGCATGTTCAGATATGCGTAGTCTTTGATGAGAATTTATTTGGGAGTTAATGTTGGAACCAAGATTGTCACAAAGTTGCAGTAGGATACAGGTCAAGGTAGGCACATCGACCCAGAGGCTATCTAACAAGCTTCACCAGTTGTTCTGACAACAATACTATAGTGAACGGTCTGTGTGGACATTTTATGTCGTAGCATATGCTTGGTTACCTCGGAAGAAACAGCTTAGGACATCATGGTGTGGACCATTGATTGGTATTTCACTCAAAGGCTCAAGGCTACCATCAACGGCGGCACGTGTAGTTCATGCGAGTTAGAGGAGAAGGCCAAAAAGCACACAGGCAATCGACTTTCAACATATCAGCCTTTCATCTGTGGAATGCTGACAGCATTCGCGAGCACCAATGTGGAGGCTGTGGCCTAAAATTGGCTTCCTACCATGCCCAAGGCTGTAATCCAGTGGAAGAACATATCTGATACCGGTGAAAAAGGCCGCAGGCACCCCATATTACAACCGCAGCAAACTTACACATGCCAGCCTTCTACTCGGTCCCAAAACCCACCTGCCAACCGTAAGCGCCTGTGTACCTTGGCACTGCAGATAACTCCAATCACGCCCCTAAGCGCCTGTACACTGCATGTTTCGGCCTCATGTCCACGATATCCTTATAAACGGATATTGATCGTCGCCTGATATACTAGTTGCCCCGATGACGCCGCAAGCCGTTTCCGCCCCCAAATCTGCGTTCCTGGTAGGGATTCAAGTCACGCGGGAGCTGGCAAGGGGTGGGAACTCACAACCCGAATAGTCAACCTCTGCATAATTTGAATCGGTGCCCGCGATTCACACGTCCTGCGATCTGGCGCAGCCATACATACTCACAACATTCATGGCGGCGTCGGTGATACAAAGCTATATCTTTTCTAACCGATAGATTCATCCAGTCATCTAACAGTGGCATCCTACTAGTCGTGAGGTTTGTCAGCCGCATTGATACCATCTTCAACCTTCAGCTCGCTTAGCCCTGTATCGTCAAAGAAGAGGGTTGCCATCTTTCCAGCCTTGCTCCATCACAATGCAGCCCCGCACGGCCCGTCGCCATGCCGCGCGAATCATGCCCCTACTTCCAAACGACCACCATGATACCAAGCCATGTAGAAGCGCCGCGTCTACCGCAGTTCGGCGACGAGGCTGGAAGGCAGCAATGTTTATGAAACCTCATCCTTCCCTTGGGTCCAGCAACGACTGGATCCTCATGCTCCTTCGACCAGTAATTTGTTTGCGACGCCGAAGCAGCAATTGTATGAGCATCAAATTTCTTCAATATGGCTTCGTGTCTTCCCACAAGGCTGCTTTGCCAGATCAATGGGCAGTTTTCCGTCGTTAATTCCAGCGATGCGTACATTGAAAGCTTCGACATCGTATCGTATACCTGGGGTGCACCAGCGAAAGAAGAATGGGACTGCGGTATACCAGGCGTGGATTGGGTACTAAAGATAGCAGAAAACAAAATGGAGGACATCAAAAGGCTGATGATAACGGAAAACATTCAATACCTGTGGGCAGACTGCGTATGCATCAAGCAGACTTCGGATGCAGATAAGGCTGTTGAGCTGTCCCGGATGTTCGAGTATTACAAGAGCGCGGAAAGATGTCATATCCTTCTTGATATGCCCGTTGTGTGGAATCCACAGCAGATTGTGGATGACCTCAAGTTTCTCGATCACGTTCGGTCGCATATGAAAGGGTCAGCGCTCGCGGCAGGTGCGCCGGGTCTCATGCCGGATCAGAGAACGCGACTCCAAGAGTGGGCGGATGCGAACTGGGCATTTGAAATACCAAAGACAACGGTCAGGACAGCTGCAATCGATATGGGTGTGCTAAACTGTTATGCCACGTGTGTCAATCACGTTCAGTCGCTGTTCGACAATTTCTACTTTACGCGGGTATGGACGTTCCAGGAGATGATTCTTGGCAAAAATGTTGTCATGTGGGCAATAGATCGCCACGAGATATCGCGCATTGGTGAACTCGAAACTTGGATGGGTCTTGCCCTGGATTCGCTGGATAAGTCACTCAAGCTGCAAGAGTGGATCCAGGAGTCCAGATGGGTCAACAATGCATCCATTGACGCGGTTCTAAGAGTCATTGAAGAAGATGAGTGGGCGCTGCGTAGTCTCCGTCAGCAAGTCCGAGGCATTGAGAGCGCGAGGACTGACATCATTAATGGAGGGCCACACTGGTGGCATGACAACACAAAAGGTGTTGCAAATATCTTCTCAGCGGTTTCCTTGACTCCGCGAAGTTGCGGGGCAGAGGAGGATATATTCCGAGGCCTTCTGGGTATTTTCAGTGGATTGTTTACCAGTGAAGAGATCAAGGAACAGCTTTCTGGAAAAGATATGGAGAAGATGTCATTCAACTTCTTCAAGCAACTATCCATCAAAACGGAGCGGGCGTGGACCAAACTAGCAATAAGCAGCCGCGAGCGGGGAGAGTGGGATTGGATTCCTGTGGTCGAAAACTACAGCAGCAAACCAACAACAGATTGCTTCGCTGGAGTCGTTAGTCTAGGAAGGGTGAAAACCAAAGGCCAGGCAAAATCTGCCGCAGTAACCGGGGTCAAAGGAAGTCCGAAGAAGTACATGAAAATTCGTCTGGTTCCGAACACCGAAACCGCGGGCTTCAGCTTCGTCTTCAAAGGCTGTAATTGTGGAAAGAAGATGAAGAAGGGCATGTTTTCTAAAGAGCTTATACCAACCTATGACCAACCTAGGAATGTGGTCAAGGATGAGACTGGCAAGGTGCTAGTTCAATGTGCGACCATACTGGCAAGCCTCATGGATCCGAGCAGCAACTTTGTTGAGTACAGACAAAGATTGCTTCGTAATCTACGGCCAAATTGGAGGACGACAGATCCATGTGCGAAACCCACAGAGTGGGAAGATCGATGCGTCAGCGGTACCGCTTGGGAAGATCCATCACCGCAGTTTTTTCGAAGCCATAATATGTCGATGAACTACCGCATGGTCGACTTTACCAGTTTTGAATCTCGGCTATGGAATGAGAACACAGAGAAGATCTCCTGCGAAGTGCGGGTGAATTGCGGTTGTACAGTCACTGCTCCATTTGCAATGATTTTTGAGGCACTTAGAGCTATCGAAGGAAGCTCTCTAGGCGATACACGGGCGGCTCGTGATCTTGACGACCGTATTATCCTTCGAGATGGCCGTGGACTGGTGCAGATCGGTGCTGTAGGGAACACGTTTGATGTGCTAGGTTTCGGGGGAAGTGTAGAGGCCTACAGGTCGCATGCAGCCTCTTGTAAGAATCTGAAGTCTAGCAAGCCCGTGATTCCAAAGATACCATGGCCTACGGGACGGGCCCTTGTCAGAGAAGAGTTTGCGCATGGTATCATGGCCCAGATGCGCGATTACGGGTACATTTGGACGGGCGGTTCGGGGAATTTGCTGATAAGTCGCGACCACGTCATGGACCGGTATAAGATTATCGGGGTGTGTATTGACGAGTATATTGAGAATGAGAAGGGTGAAAAGGCAGTGACGATTCGGTGAGGATGGCTATGGAATGACACATCAGACGGCTCTTTGCTTGTAGTAGTACTCTAGTCCAGGTTCAGTAATGTTGCAAACTTTAGTTACAAGATCTCAGTAGACTGGATGCGTGTGTGACGGCGGCGTATGACTGGTTGAGGAATTGAGTTGTTATGTGCCAGTGAGATCATCGGGTGGGCAGATATGGCAAAGCGTGCTTTTGCAAGTCAAGTTCTGGCATAGTAAAGGCTGTATGATTTGTAACACCAAGACCTGAGTAGGAAGGAAAGGCACCGCCAAGCCACGATGACGTATTCGGTAAGACCATCCAGGTAACCACGACTGCCACTTGCACAGCCACCACCAATCAACTTCCCTTTATCATCACCAGGTCGCCTTGTTTGAATGCTGTTTTCTTTTACAAGTCATTCACATTTGAGACACTGAGTTAGGCCTGGCATTCCTAGCATTCTTAATAAAGAAAGGGCCGCGACTAATACCACGGCGGCGGTCTTAGACTTCCCAAATACCACGCCAACTTTGTCTATACCATGTTCAAGAAACTCAAAGACAAGTTGAAAGGCGACGAAAAGCCATCTTACGGAACAGATCAGCACAATCTACAATCAAACAATCCTTACTATCAACATTCTCAACAGCCATCAACAGAGAAATACCAGCCTCCTCCTGGTCCCCCGCCAAACCAGGCCTCTTCGTCAAAACCCGAATACACAGCACCTCCAGGACCTCCACCAAGTCATCAATCCTCAGGCTACGCACCCCCACCGGGTCCACCTCCTTCATACCCCCAGCAACCACCTCCAAGCTGGGATCCACCCCCATACCACGACTGGACTGTGATACCCGACACCGCGCTTCTCCCCCCTCCCCCCTCAATGGGCTACGACAGTTCCCCCACGGCAAACGCCACAGCCGAAGAAGGCGACCGAGCCCTTGCCTGGACAAAAGCGCACCCCCTATGGCCCCCGCAAACCCTCCACCCAAGCACCCACACTGCAATCCAAAATGCGCAGCTCGCCCTTCTCAAACCCCCCTCCTTAGCCGGCGACTTGTTCCCCCAACAGACCGCAGGACACTGGCGCATCCGCACCTACCCCTCTTGCCGCGACTCCAGCATCCTGTCTAACCTCCCCCTCTACAGCGCTCTCACTGACTCCCCCCTGATCACGCACCACCCGAGAACCCTCTACTTTGAGCTCAAAGTTACATCCATAGGTCACGGTGCCTCATCTTCCCTCTCTGAAGCAGACGCTGGCATCGCAATCGGGTTCGTCGCCCCTCCGTACCCCACCTTCCGGCTCCCAGGCTGGGAACGCGCCAGCTTGGGTGTCCATGGCGATGATGGCAGAAAGTACGTGAATGATGCGTGGGGCGGGAATGATTTTACCACTGCGTTCAAACCGGGGGATACGGTGGGGATCGGCATGACGTTTGAGGTGCCGAAGAATCCGCCCGCGTATCAGGGCGGGCAGGAGGGGAAGATGTTGGATATTAAGGTTTTCTTTACGAGGAATGGGGTCAAGGAGGGTGAGTGGGATGGCAATGAGGAGTTGGATGTTCGGAGTGAGGGAGGAAATGTGGGACTAAGGGGAGAGTGTGATTTGTTTGCTGCGATTGGAGTGTTTGGCGGAGTGGAGTTTGATGTTTTCTTCCACCCGGGTCAGTGGCTGTACAGGCCTGTGTGAGGGTGTTTGGACGCGAAAGCAGACCTGCTGTCCTAGTTACTTAATCTCATGTCTTTTTTTTGTAAAACCAGTGTTCTTTGCACTCCGTTTCGTCACCCGTAAAACGAATCAAATTCATCCGTGACGAACAAAGATAAGTGGTATTCATACGCTTGACATGGTCGAGCAGCGACGGTCGAAATCCATCAAAGCCATAAAACAACCCTATCCAACCCGAAGACACCAAAACGCCAACTATCCCATCCCTCACGAAGGAATTGTGGGATACTTGTCGCCATGCCCATTCTATAGTACGACCTTCCTCGCTTCCCTAGGATGACTCTCATTCGGGCAATACGGACACTTGAATCTAGATCCCTTACTGAGTTTATCCAGCGACTCCTGCGCAATAACATGGCCACACGGCATCATCATGGGCGGATTCGTATCTGTCGACTGTTCCTTTGAAACCGGACATACGAAAATGCTATGGAAATGGTACTGGCTTGGCAGCGGAATCTCGACAGGTAATTCGTCCTGAGTCGTCCACTCTGTGCGTTTCTCCTTCATGATGGACTGCATTTTGAGGAGATAAGGGAGGGCGATGGCGCCGGCGGTAGCGGCGATGAAAAGGGGCGAGTCGGCGCTGAGGCCGAGGAGAGAGCAGAATTCGCGGTTGAAGGAGTGGGCGACTTCTTCCCAGGCGGAGTCGTTGTAGAAGAGGCGGCGGTAGGGCGAGTCTTGAATGTTTGGCCAGAAGGCCGTTGCGCCGAGGAGTTGCTGGATTTCCCGGGCGTAGCGTTTGTGGAATGGGGGGAACTCGCGGTGTGCGTAGGCCCAGGCGTCGAGGGGACCTTTGGGGATTTCTGTATCCATGGCGTCGCTGTGTTGGTTATGGCTGTCGAAGAGACAGATGTATTGGAGGCGACAGAGCTCGAATTCGAGATTACTGCCCCGGCCCTCGAGTTCGGCGCTGCGTTGGCGGGCCCATTGTATGGCTGGCTGTAGATTCTTTTGAACGCGCAGCTCGTGTAGTATATGGTACATTTCTGCAAACTTCTGCTGCAGTTCTTCTGAATTGAAGGTACCTTCTGCCAGATCTCTTTCCCACGACTCACGTATGTGGGGGTTTGGCGTGTTGGGCGTAGGCTCTGGGCGTGGCGGCTGGCGGGTAGCTTCTTGTACAAAGGTCGAGGCTACGTCGAATTGACCCTCGCGGAGGAGGTGCATGGCAATGGCACGATTGATGAGCGAGGGATGTGACGATAGGGCGTCATTTTCGGCAGAGGGGAGGGGCTTGTCTTTGAATTTCTGAGCGGCGCTGTCAGCAATGGAGAAAGTGACGGCCAGTGCGAAGGATAAGCATACCTTGTCAAGTGCCTTGCCGTATTTATTCAGACCCGAGTATATGGGCTTGAGGTCTTTCTGTACAGTGTCGAGAGACTGCTTGAAGGGGTCCTGGAGTCTCGCGAGTGTCAAGGGCGCCGTTGTGGGATCTGGTCGAGTGTTGTAGTCAACATGTGTGCTGCTATACAAGCGACGTAAGGGCACTCACCCGCTGCGATCTTTGCACGAGCTGCAGTGAGCATATCAATCGCCTTTTGCACGTGATCTATGCTGGCGGAGAGGTTTGCGCTCTTCTCCAGCAGCTCCACCTGCTCGCGGAGATCGTCCATGGTGTTGGTAGGGCCGGGGGTGACAAACGATGGCGGTTAAGATGGCCTATGGGCGTTGGAAGCAATGAATCGGTGGTCGCAGCGGAGTGGAGAGCGTCGGTCTGGCCAGAGGGACTCTTCAGTGCTGTCCATGGCCGTTGTGGTGGTTGAGGCATGAGCCGATGGTGTCGCGCTCGCCGCATGACGTGTGGGGGAGGGAACAGGGCCGACCTCCACACGCGCATCCATGGCTCTAATCATCAACTCTCCCCGAAGTAGGAAGCCCATGTATACACAAGCCTCGCTGCATGTCGGGGCCTTTTGCGATATCCCAATATAAAAAAACAACTACAGACTGCCAGTAGGATCATGCTCACAGGGCCCTCCGACACGTCCTGTGCCCTATCTTCCACCTCGGCCATCGGCGGGACCTTGCGCCTCCCTTTACCATGACGAGCTTGCACCCGCAGCACCTGGTAGTTCGTCGGCCAAATCATACCTGAAATCGCCCTAAAAAATGGACTCCCCCCTGCCAGTGCCCCCGTCGCGGGTGCACACCGAGAAAGAGCTTCGGAGGCAGATGCCGCCCCTGCAGACGACGTCAATCCAACACGCAAGCTCAGCACAGTCGCGTCCCCAGCCAGCAGTCTTCAAGTCTCCCATCGCTGACATGCTGCCGGAACAAGCCGCGGCCCGGTCGCCTGCTTCGCCTCCGACCCATCAGCGCTTCGTCCTGACTGACTTGGTGGCTGCTCGCTACCTTGAAGAGGACGCTGCCACGACATGTCACGTCCTTGCGCGCCGCCAGAGGATCGAGGGCTACGAGATCTACCTGGTCGAGCAATGGGCCTGCTCCCGCACCCACCCCACTTACCTCATCACCACCTACACGGGAAATCCCAACGACTCTGTCTTGGCCACCATCATAAGCGTACCCAGTAACGAGGATGAGTGGTCCCCCCAGATGCGCTTGTACTTCAAGTCTCTCACCGACTGCTATGCCAGCAGAAAGGAAACACCCTATGGCACCCTCATGATCACCAATCTCAGCGGATTCCCCTCCTCCCTGACTGTTATCCCTATCCCTGGGGGCGACGTGAAAAAACACCGCGAAGCCTTTGTTGTTAATGAAAACCTCAAGAGATTAGGATGTTCTGGTCGCCTGGGTATCAAGCTCACGCCTCCTAGTGGTGCTACTCAAGCAAAGTTTCAGCAGCTGTATCGCACAAGTGATCGCATTCCATTTAATGCTTCCGTCATTGAGTTGGTCAAGCTCTGTCAAATAGCACTTGTTTTGTTTGGAAAGCTCGAGCCAGAGTATGCCGACGGGCTACTCTGCGACTTGACGGAAAAAGCAATCAATGACTGGTGGATAGACTTTGGATCAGAGTACTACACTGTAGAGCCTCATGATGGCATCCTTGGTCCAACAACCGTCGCTGCTCTGCTAGGCATGTTGATGGGCGCTCGTAACAGACTAAGTGCCTGCAATGCTGCAGTAGCAAAAGATGTTTTTGATATTGACGCTACCAAGCGCGGCATTGCGCATTTTCAAAAGTCTCATCACTTACCTAGAACCCGCCGTCTTGATCGGCAGACTCTTGAGCAGCTTCGAAGGTCGTCTGCAAAAGCAGCGCGTAAAGAAGGCTGGGCTGTTCCGCGAGCATTCAAGTCGACTGTTGCCGAGCTAGGAGGCAAGGGCGGCGAGATGGTCATGGGAATTGTTGGTGCTGGTCAAAAAGATGGCATCGCTGAAGTTGAGACCGTGGATATTGACCAATTCGTTGAGCTAGTCCGAGGTGAGCATGCAAAGTGGCTGTGGCATGGAAAGCCTAAGAAAACAACATCCGGCGACAGCATGTTTGATCGACTTCCAGGTGGAGAATCACAGTCAAGCTCGCCAGAGAAGCACGATCAACACGCGCCCAAACCCGTCCGTCAAGAATCAACAACAGATCCTCACAACATAACAAAGCGTGACACGGGCTCCTCGGAAATAAAAAAGGCAGAAGCATTTACCCCAGAGGGGCTAGAGAAGGAGTACTTCAAAGACCCTTCTTCGAAGCGAGCTGCCATCAAGGCCAAGCTAGAGTCTGGCGGTTTTCACCACATCAAAAATGCTGTTGGCCTCCGCACCCATGCCACCAAGCTTTCCCGAGATGAACACGGACGACATGGGCTACATCGCACCAAAAGTGGTAGTGTGCCGCTACAGTACACGGATTCTCGCACATCCATCGAGTATGAGAGCCATTCAGACGATCCATATTCAATGATATCACCTCAGAGCATGGCCGGCGAAGAACCTGCCTTTGCCAAAGTCTTAACCGAAACACCAGGTGAATCTGCCACCTCCCTCCATAACCACAGAGCAGTCGGCAACCGTCACGCCTCAGCATTGCGCACTTCAATAGTCGAAAGTGACACATCTGAGCAGCCCGAACAGCCCGAACAGCCTCCCACAGTAGCAAGCTCCCTCGCCGGCTCCACCTACCACGGCATCGATCTCACCTGCCTCCCCGTCTCCCAAGCAAACACCATCCCCCCGCTCCTCCGCCGCACCCAATCTGGCTCCCAATTCGACCTCGTCCGCCCACCCCGCCACAACGAATGGTGGCCCCGCCACCTCTCCTTCAGCACAGCCGAAGAATCCGTCCTCCGCTGGCCCCCCATCAATCCCAGCACCAGTGCCCCTGACGAAGAAGAAGAAGAAGCCCTAGCCACAGACGATCCCTCGTCCGTCACCTCCCTCACCGCCCGCTCTGCCCTCCAAAACATGCACTCCGCCCAACTCAAACGCCTGCACCATACCCTCGCTCAAGTTTCGGAAAAAGATCAAGACTGGGTCAATTCCCGGCTCGCAGAGATCATCGCGCTCTCGCAATCCGTAGACGCAGATATCGGAACGCTGGAATCAATTTACTATCCCAGGCTCGATACGTATCATTCACTCCGCGAGGATACGCATGCTATGGTTACCAATAACCGTGCTTTACTTACCACCAGCCTGCGCGAACTGGAGAATGTGAGGGATAAGCTTGAGTATGAAATTAGTGCCCTCAGGGGCAAAGTTGAGGATGTAGAGGATGTGGTGGCCGAGTTTGAGAGGCAGGTGGAGTTTGTGGAGGGGAGGCTGCAGGAGTTGGATGGCGTGTTAGGGGAGAGAGAGGGGTGGTGGGCTTGGGGGTTAAGGGTTTTGACTGGGTTGGGGTCGGCGCCTGGGTAGATTGTATAGATATTCATATAGAGAGGGAGAGGAAGAAATAGAATTGTTTGGCATTAGGGTATCATTACAAGAACATCGTCTTCATTCATGGCCGCTCCTAAGAATCCTCTTCTTTTTTTCTCTGACTTCAAGCTCCGGGCTACGTGTCGGAATTCCCTGGTACAAACCAACTATGCTTGCGGCCCGGAGTTTCTACCTCCTTCCAGCATCCGTCGGCGATGCTCCTCCTCGAGTAAACTCTGCTTGCGCACGTACTCGAGTACGACTTCTTCTTCCGTTCTTTGCTTCGCTGCGTTCTCCGCACGCTCTTGTTCAGCCTGTTCGCTTTCGCGCAGAATGCGCTGCATTTCCTCGTCTTCATCTTCGGCGGGGATGTGAGAAAAACGATCAGTTTTACCTGTCCTTATGCTGCCCAAGCGGGTACTATAGCCATCTACAGGGGTATCAATGCCATCTACGACACCCGTTTGTTGCTTTGCTAGTTGTGCCAGGTGCGCGGTATGAGCATAGTCTTCTGGGAGGTTAGCATGGAGATGAGCGAGCTCTTTTGACTCTGCGATGATGCGCTGGTAGTCTTCGTCTTGGTTCGTATCCTCAGAGTTTGAATCCCATTCTAAGTCACTGCCGTGCTTGCGGGGCAATCTTGTCTCCAGAAGACTGCGGCGTAATGTCTCTTCGAGCATCTTTTGCTCTTCTTCTGTCACGTCCTTTTTGCCGGCTTCCGACATGCTGGCGGCCATGGCGCGGCGGATTGCTTCCTCTTCTTCTTGTTGAGTGGGATTGGTGCATGCATCAGCTCGCTCGAGTTCGGCGATTGAGGCGCGGATGGCTGATGCGATCAACTGGTCTTCTTCAGGGTTGCCGCGAGATGCTTCGGCGACTGAGGCTGCGATGGCTCGTTCTAGTTCACGCTGATCTTCTTCTTCTTCGGCCTTGAGTTGCGCCTCGAGTTCGGCTTGTGTTTGCTGAGGTGGGGCGCTTGTCTGGCTTCCGGTAGTAGGCGTGCCCTGGCGCCGGAGAGCGCGTGTTCTCTCAGCTTCCTGTTGACGCCAGCTGGGAATTGTAGACCGGATTTCGGGTTCAACGTCATGCCTTCTAGGCGGAACAGGATACTGGCTTAGGGGGCTATCTTGGTGAGCCAGATTACTCTGAATAAGAGGCTGACCACCGGCAGCATTGGCATGTGAGGTGAGCCTAGCCGTCCGCTCATTCTTCCGGTCTCTCTTTTGCTGCACGAGCGAATGTAGCGAGTCCATTTGCTCAGCACCAACGTTCCTCTTCTTCTTGATGCTGCCCTTCATGCCCTTCCATCTTGTGATGATTTCATCTCGCTCCTTCTGGGAAATTGTTGAAGCTTCCTCGTAGCCCTGTGCAATCCGTGCAGCGATGATATAGTTCTGCACATTCTGTCCCTTGTTCTTGACCGCTTCCTGATAAAGGCCCTTCATTGCATAACCAGGTACTGCCCATGCACCGCTCATCACACGGAAAGGTAGGCTCATGATACCCTGACCAACCCCTTTGACAAAGCCGATACCGCCTTCCTTCTTAGCGCCTTTGTATGGATCGGTTACGAGACCTGTGATGCCGTCGTACAACCCATACCCGAATTCCTGTTTCGACGTCAGCAAAGCCCAAACAAACGATTTCGTATCCTCAATACCTTAGCAGCTGTGCGCATGCCGCTTTGAAAGTCAGTCACTTTGTCAACCTGGCGAACTTCTGCTCCATAGAGTTTTGGTACGTTATGGAGCCCCTTGGCAACGTTCAATGAAAAGTCCATGGGTGACTTGACTCCAGCACTGATAATGCGTGCTAACCCCTTTCCAGTGTCTACAGTAGATTCGATATTCTCCGTTATTCCAGGTCGTTGTCCGCTACAACAAGCGGTGACCGAGCGAGATCCCGCATTGGAGCCGTTACGCTCTCTAGAGCGTGAACGCGAACCTTGAGTAGATTCAGAAAATGCTTGAGACATAAAACCAGATCTATGTGAAGGCGTACCGGGTGAGCCTGGAGTTCTGACTGCCGGGTTGCCAGCTTGAATCCTCGCCAGCTCGGCAGCGGCATCAGCTGCTGTAGGCGTCCTGTTTCCACTTCGACTCGGATTTTCAGTCTCAGCTGCCACGCTTCCACTGCCACTGCCATTGCTTTGAGAAGTGGATTCACCTCCTACTGCTTTCTGTTTACCCTTTTTAGACCTGCCGTCGGGGTGTATGTGCAGAAGTTTAAGGGTCTGAACGGGCATGTCGGCAACACCCATCATCATTGAAGTTGCCGTTCCCATCAAAGCTCCCGCGGCACCAGTAATTGGGTCCCAAGGACCTTCATCCGGAACGTATTCACGAGGACGGAAGCTAGAACCATCAATCAACGAAATCAATTGATCAAAAAAAGAACTTACAGCTTCATCTCGGAGAAATTGATTTCACCTTCTTGCGCCAGTACAGTAGCTGCTACAGCGCTCAACTTGACTTCTGTGCGTTTGACTCTCCATACAGCGGGGTTGTTTGGCTTGACTGCGCATCGTAGTTCATCATAATTAAGCATCTGGTGGAAGGATTGAGCCCCATTCTGGGTTCCATTCTCTTGCTTGATCTTGTCGCAAAGTTCCTGCGCCCGGTCGAGTGTTTCCGGCTTCAGCGCCTCTAGGATGGCCGCTGCGAGTTTCTCTGCAGTGAGGTCCTTGTAAGGAATAGGGTCAGGTCCAGCACCAGCACGTGCTACCATGGCCCCCCAAAAGGGCTGGTCTCCGAAAAAGGGTACGACAACTGTAGGTTTTCCTGTAGCAATTCCAGCTGCTGTGGTACCAGCACCGCCATGGTGTACAACAGCGGAGACACGTTTGAATAACCAATCATGGGGGCAGTTTCCAAGCATAAAAACACCATCAGGCTTTCCAATATCGTCAGCCCCAAGCCCACCCCAACCCTTGGACACTAGTGCTCGTTTTCCAGTAATCTTGACCGCGTCGAAAATCATCTTGGTCATGGCATTTGGGTCATCCACGACGATTGAGCCAAATCCAATATAAACAGGAGGCTCACCTGTGTCCAGGAACGATGCAAGATCCGGGTCGGGCGTGTAGTTGGAAGCAAGGTTGAGGAAGTAAAAGCCTGCAACGGAGATATGATGATTCCAGTCTCTTGGTTTCGGAATCAGTGCTGGTGACCAACAGTACGTAAAGGGAATTCTGAGTCTTGCGAGCACTGCTGGTCCCCAGACACCGCTGATTGGGTCCAAGCGAAGACTGTCTTTGCGAAATCTGTTGATGACGTCTCCAAGACCTTGCCAGGTCAGCACATCAACCATGAGGTATGACATGTAATTCGTAATTGTAGCATCCGCATTCGTAGATTGGATGTTCGCAAGTGGATGCGGGAATTGTTGTGTAGGTGACCAGGGCATGCTGTCTTAAACTCAGTATATGCGCATCAAAGATCCTGTCGTCAAACCTACGTGAACATCATATGGAGTGGGATTCCTAGCTTTTCAGCGCAATGTATGTGCCCGAAGCTCGGGGGGTTTGCAATGATGGCGTCGGCAACAAACGGCTTTCGAAGCTGCTCTGGCAATTGGTCTTCTATGCCCATCCACTCTTCCACTGTTTGCTGGAGGGGATCCACACCAAGACCATTGCCGGTCTCTATGCAGGATCTCCATGTTCCACTCAGAATCTCTGCGATGCCTCTCCTTCTCTTGCCAATGTCACCGCTTCGCAACGTATCAAAACCTGGCATCAAACCCGGGTTCTTCACCATAAATGCCATGAGCTCAGCCGGGTCACCGCCGATACTGAAAAACTCGAGTCCATTTTCGGCCACAAAGTCCTTGAACGTTGGATGCGTTGCTAGTCGTACTCGGTGACCATACGTCTCCTTGAGTACCTTTCCAAGGGCAACAAAGGGCTGAACATCGCCTCGCGACCCCACGACCTGTATGACGAGATTGAGTGGAGGTGGTGGTTGTTGGCCTGGTGCTCCGCCAAGAAATTCTGGAATGTAAGGCGGAGGAGGCACAGGATCTTCTTGCGCATGCGTAAGCTGACGTTGGATTTGCGGAAGAATGAGTTGCGAGAGGGTGTGGCTCTTTTGGTCTATTCGAATATTCACACGTCCATCATTCGCTACAACGGCGTTCGTCCCCAGCTCTTCGTTTTCTACTTGGCCTGGAAGTTCGCTGTATGCAGGGGGAAGCTCCTCAGCGGTTGGTGACGTTATGTTACTGATGTGTGCATTATCGGCATTTTGCTGTGAGCTTAAAGGTTCACTTTCAACAACGTCAGCATAGATTATAAGTTCCTTTTGAAACTAGCGATACTCACTACTGTTGCTGTGATGGTGGGGCTGTATCGCGAGTAGTAACGTCATTGCCCTGGGCGGGGCCCTTTGAACTCGACATGGTGTGACTACAGGGTTAGGGAAAGATGTACCATGAAAGAGCGACAAAACAAGAACAACAGGAGAGTAGGAGAGATAAAGAGAGACTGTTGCGATCGGCAGTCTCCTGGAATTACAAGAATGAGAAGCCTGTAATGCGGGCATGGGCGAGGCGCATGCGCAATGACACGGGGGTTCGGGGAAATATGGACGTGATTGGCTGTCAGTTTGTGTCAGGGAAAAAGACCAGTCTCACAGCCACATATAAGCGGGGCCTTAGTCCAGACGCCTTGATCCTAGGGTGCTGCGCCTTCAGAACCTGCGTATTTCTCGTAAGCCTACGTATTGACACACTCAGGACCTGCGTATCTCTCGTATAGCCGCTTAGTGAAACATTCAAGACCTGCGTATTTGTCGTAACTCTCCTTGTTGACACCTTTTACAGTCCACAGGCACGAGAAGCTCGCATCTAGCCGAGATAATTAATTACTATAGGCAATATGCCAGTATTAGTTAGAAACGATATGCACGTACAAATACGGCATTCCTAGGTAGGTATAGACTAAGGTAAAGTAGCATCCGTATCCCAGCCTCGAATATTGCGCTGAAACTATTATAGTACGCAGTGCTGCTAGACTTACAACGTGTAGATAGCTGCTTAGCACAAACCACCAGCTAAGGGTCAATGAGATAATCGTGGTACATTTTTACAGTGGTTCTGGATCACATGTTTTTGATTACGCCAATACAGACTGTTGTCTCAATACTTGATAGTAAAGTTCGTGCATCTGTCGAGAGTGTGCTTGTATTTGGCCTGTATCAACAGCAGCAGCAGCAACTAACCACTGAATTCTCCGAGCCTTTCTTGCCCAAGGCCAATTTTTGGTCCGTCACTTAAAATTGCCTATAGCCATTTTCAGTTACCGAAACCACTGTTAAATAAGCAGAAACAGGGAAAGAGCCTAAGATACCGAGCAAAAAATAAACAAACATGATTTCATTTCTTGTAATTAGGAGTTGTTGGTATGGAAAACTAAGATAGTCCTATATGCTACTAGTGCAGCATTTTTGATCACTTACGAAGCATTTACTACTTCTTTACTAGTTCCAACTAGCCGGCCTCAAGCATCGAGCTACATGACAACATCTCTTATCTCTATATTGTTGTCAAAGAACGGCAGTCACATACCAACTTATGACTCAGTGCCTCCACGCTCTTACAAGTTTTACAAATACGAATCCCTCAAATGGCTACGATTTTTGCCTTGGTCTATACTTGCAACCGAAAATACTTAAACCATTGATGTGCCACGCTTGGACCAAGTTGCGTGGTGGTCAGTGATCGTCCCAAGGCTGATAGGAATTGTCCTACTGATCAGTCTTCCTTATTTTCATCCATTTCACTTCACCACATCTCCGATGATAACCCGGGGATCTTCTACAGAGTTACCTAGCACGTCCTTGGCATGTGAAAAGGAATTCCCGAGAAATACCATAAGTGTAATGTGTACCGTTGGGAATGCAAACAGTATCACGCCGGCATACGGTCCCAGCTTCCTTCTGGAATCCTGTGCACAAACAAGACATGTTACTTTGTTTTAAACAAGTCAGCTAAAGTTCTCCTAACATCGATAAACCAAAAAGAAGATACGCATATGATTTCCTTGATTTTTCAAAACTGGTTTTCTTGCTTTTGGAACTAGGTGGGTCGTACAACGGCACGGTTTAGTGCTGATGCAACGACGGTGGAAATAAGGAGGCTGGCAATTGTTGAGTGTCACACTATGACCCCTTCCTTTCTTTTTTCCATAGTGTTCTGCAAGGGAGTATAAAGCAAAGGGTGTTACGCGTCGAAGTGAGCAAACCAGATTTATCTCAACCCCGTTCATCCCAGTCTCTTTACCTTGCAGTGAGCTGACTGGGCTTTTTTTTTCCTTTTTTCCCCTTCTGAATCTTTTGGTAAATAGAAGCCGCTTGACATATTCGCAATGTTTTCCTCTCTTTGCACAACGACAATACTACTATCATGTTTCATATGCGCCACAACCGCGCAGTCGAATGCCGCTGTGAATTCAGGCACTGCGAAATCAACCACTCCACCACCTCAGGATAACAAAGACGCCCTAGGATCATGGAGTCCGGTCATAGATTTCCCCATCATCCCCGTAGCCGCATACATCGTCTCCGAGTACCCGTCACCCACACGAATGCTCGTCTTCTCCGCATTCTCTCCCAACTCCTTCGGTGGCCAACGAGGCATCACGCAATTCGCAGAGTACAACCTAATCAACGGCACCGTCTCTAAACGTGAAGTATCGGAAACAAAGCACGACATGTTCTGCCCCGGCATGAGCTCCCTCGGCGACGGCAGCCTCATCGTGAGCGGCGGCGCCAACGCCGAAAAAACCAGCATCTACAAGCCCTTCAGCAACGAATTCGTCGCCGGCCCAGACATGAAAATCGCGCGCGGCTACCACGCCAGCACCATCCTGTCCACCGGCAACGTCTTCGCAATCGGCGGCTCCTGGAGCGGCCCCGTCGGCGGCAAAGCCGGCGAACTCTACGACGCCAAAGCAAACTCTTGGAGACTCCTCCCAGGCGCAGCCGTCAAACCAATGCTGACTACCGACCACGAAGGCGTCTACCGCGAAGACAACCACGCCTGGCTCTTCGCCTGGCGCAACGGCTCCGTCTTCCAGGCCGGCCCCAGCAAAGCAATGAACTGGTACTATACCGACGGAAAGGGGGACGTCAAGCCCGCCGGGATACGAAATTCCGCCAACGACGAAATGTGCGGCGTCAACGTCATGTACGACGTCGGCAAGATCTTCACGGCTGGAGGAGCGCAGTACTACTACCAAGCGCCCGCTCTGCGCGTCGCGCACATGATAGAAATCGACAAGGTCGGGGCCCCCGCAAAGGTACAGCGACTGCCGGATATGCGGCACGCGCGGGTCTTTGCGAACGTGGTTGTGCTGCCTGATGGCAAGATAATGGTGACAGGAGGTCAAGGGGTAGCCGAAGGCTTCACAGACTTGCAGCCCGTTTTCCATCCCGAATTGTTCGATCCGGCAACACGAACCTTCACCGAGTTGGCGCCTGAAGCCGTGCCGAGAAACTATCATTCTGTTGCAATTTTGTTGCCGGATGGAACGGTTTTTACCGGCGGTGGTGGGCTCTGCTGGGACGATGGCTCGGGGAGGGTGTCGGCACCGTGTCGTAATACGGTTGACCATCCTAACGGCCAGATCTTTACGCCGCCGTACCTTACTACTGGTGCGCCGAGACCGGTTATCGAGAGTGTTGCTTCGGCGAAGGTCGCGCCGGGTGGGCGGCTGGAAGTCACGATGAAGGGAAGTGCCAAGGGGGTTTCCTTTTCTCTGATTCGCATCGGAAGCGTCACGCATAGTATCAATACCGATCAGAGGCGTGTGCCGCTCGAGCCAAAGGTCGATGGTAATAAGGTTACATTGCCTATCTTGAATGATCAGGGCGTTATGCTACCAGGCATGTGGTATCTTTTTGCTGTTAGTGAAAAGGGCGTGCCGAGTATTGCAAAGACGATTCATATGCAACAGATTTGAGTGAGTCAAAAGATTTCGGTTACGTTTTGGCGTTGACGACGTAAACGATTACGAGAGTAATGATGCTGACGTGTAATGAGTCGAATTTTTTCCTTTGTCGCAACTGTGCGGCAAAGTTGTTCACTTTTTCCATTAATATTTACATTGGACTGACAGCATCTGCTGCTCAATGCATAGAAGCACGAGACGGAGATTGTCATGTACTTAGATACAAGAAACGTCATAGACTTACGATAGTTAATGAATTACAACGGTCCTCTTTCCATATCCTGCAGTGTATCCCGGGCACTGCCAGCCTCCGAGCCCTCATTCAATGCATTCGTCTTCTTCTCGGCCACGCTCTTTTCCTTCTTTTCCGCAGCTGGGGCTGGCGGAATCTGCGCAACCCAGAACTTTGGATACTGCCTCTGCAGGTTCATCAGAAGCACCGCGCTCACTAGTACTACAGACGAGCTAAGTAGCAATACGGGCAGGTAGTACCACCTCAGAGCCCAGATGTGCGGGTCGACGCAGGGAAGCAGTGCCGTTGCGCCTGCAGGTGGATGGGTTGTTTTTGTGAGATGCATGACGACCAGGGCAATGGCTGTTGCGAGTGAAGCTGCGAGCCATTGGAGACGAGGAAAAGGCTCGGTTTCGAGATCAAACTGGAAAATTGTGGCGATAATGACGCCAGTTAGGCCACTGAAGAAGTGGCCAAAGACCAGAGAACGTGGCTGGGCAAGAGGCACATCAATGGCGCCGTAGCAGAGAATTGCTGAAGCACCCTTTTGGAAAATATGGTCAGCTCACAGTGCTTTGCGAGTCGTGTTCTCGTGTCCAATTCCATGTTCTAAAATCCATCTCTTCCTCATTGTCTCATTGCAACGCTAAACCGCACGCGAGAAGACAGCGAAACATGACTTACAAATGAAGCGATGACGGGTGGTACAGCACGGCTTCTGAAGTAGTCTGTATGCCCGAAAATAGCCAAGATGGTGCTGAGTCCGCAAAAAGCGCCGATGAATCCCCACATGCAGACAAGCCATGTACGGGATGGTGGTAAGGTCTGTGATCGATACCCGAGCCAATGGCTTACGGCTGGCGGGAGACGCGCCAGGCCGCGCTGGATAGCTCGTTCAGCAGGAACGAGGGGGTCCCATATAGGCATCTTGGAGGCGAAAAGTAATTTCACGTGAGGAGTACCTGTGCGGCGAAAGCGGAGGCGGCGGCGAGGACGACAACGACGACGACTGAAACACAGGCTCAAACGGATAGCACCTGGATGTAGAAACCTGTTGGAGAGAGACGTAGCAAGGTCCAAGAGAAGTCAGGAAGCAGGAGAGCCAAGCCACGAGGAAGACGCAAGGAAGGAAAGCTTTGCGGAAAGCATGGACGCGTTAAAAGACTCTCAGAAGGAGGAACCGTCAGCAATGCACCCCAGATTCGTAGTGCGCGTGGCCGTCCCACTTTTTAATGCCACTAGCCCAGATCCCGCTGCGCCAGCCGCATCGGATCGTGAGTCCTGGTAAGGTTTTACTTTCCATGGCTGGCTGTGGAGCCTTCTGCCGTGCAAGAGCTTAAGCCACGTGTAGGCGCGAAAGACATGTCGAAATTGATAGACAGTCCATAAATCATACTGTATGTGGGAGACATGAATGTTCGACTGGCCTGCAGCACACATACCGATACTGTAGAGCTGTTTGTGTACATATAGACGATGATTTGTGATGCAGAGTAGTTAAATAGAACTAATTAGCTAATACCCCGACCTTGATCCACGTTTCGCGCGAATATCGCCGAGATATGGCCGTGACTGCTTTTCTAGACTATCTACACAATTACTGTGTATGTCGCCTCGTCCAGACTATCCAAGATGCCTCGCTACATCTATGGAATCCATTGCAAAAGCGATATATAAATATCCACACCATGTAAAGGGAAGGACCTCCTCTGATCACGGAGTAGCATCAAAGTCCAACTCTTCAAGCTCAGTGCTACAGCAATTCCATCAGCCACGACATTTTTTCGTCACCGATATCCTCCCACCTTCTGGATTCGCATCCTTACTCCTATAGCCTTTGTTGACTTGAAAACCCGATTCCCAAATCAAGCCTCGCGGTATGTTCTATTCATCTCCAACCAGCCCGTGCCTCTTCAGCCAGTCAGATACGGGTCTCTTGAGACATCGGAAAGAGTCAAAAATGACATTGGCTGGCTCTTCGAGCTTGGCTCACATCATGAAAAAAACAATGACTTTGATCACATCCCCTCGTCTGGAAATATCGATTGTGGGCACTTGACAACAAATGACACCCCTTGCAAGGAGACCCAGAGCCCCGAGAAATCCCACAGATACTTTTTCAAGCAAACTCTGGTGATTTCTGAGGGCCAAGACAAAGAAATCAACAATAGTTTCAGGGTTGTAGCGACGTGAATGCTCAGAACGAGTATCAGCAGGGTTATTCTTGCTATTACAGCACGCTAGCACTATCTGTTGAAACCCACCTGTGCGTAGCTCCATCGCTATCATCCCCACAGGTAGAGTAGATGCCCGCATTCCAGTTTGCGTTGACAACAGTAGAATCGCGCCGATCGAGAAGATAAAAATGTGCTTGATTGAGAGAAAGCAGAATGGGCAACAAAGAGGAGGGTATAGCTAAAACAGGTTATCACATAATCCGCGAATGTGCACATTGGAACTGTGATCAGTCATGAAAATACTTCCTTTTTTTTTCTTAAAACGTCGACCAAGACATTATCTATCAAAACGCCGGCAAAGATACACTAACAATCTAAACGATAGAATAAAATCCCCCCCCCCCAAAAAAAAAAGACAAAAACAAAAGCGAGTGTTACGCCATTACCTAGTCGCAAGTCGTGAAGGGCAATGAAGGATATAAAAAAAAGAGATACCATCTAGTGCTGGTGTCCAACATGCGAGCCACAAGCGCGACCAGTAATAGCGCGGGTAAGAATGTTACCAGGCTTCATGCGCTGGATGACGGGGTTGCTATCAAGCTTCTTGGACTCGGCCTGCCACTCGCTGGGCAAGAAAGTAGCAGACTCATCAGCAAAGACAGCGCGGCCACCGACCATGGTCATGAGGACCTTGTTCCTGGAGAGGGCATCATCGGGGACAGCAGCGGTGTCGAAGTAGTCCTTGTCGAGAATGAGGAGATCAGCAAACTTGCCGGCCTCGAGGGATCCGATGCTGGAGGAGCTGTTGAGGTAGGTGGCAGCGGCAGTGGTCATGCCCCTGAGCGCGGCCTCGCGGGAGAGAGCGGGCTGCTGGTCGAGACGGCCGACGAACTGGAGACCGAAGCTGGCGTGGGCGTTCTTGTTCGTGGGGTCGCCGGTACGGGTGACGCCGATGGCGAGGGCAAGGAAGGGGTCGAGAGGGTCGACGGGCCAGTCAGATCCGTATGCAACGAGGGCGCCGGCGTTGTTGAGTTGACCGGAGGATTGGGCAACGGCCATGCGCTCGGGTCCGAGGACGAGGGAGTTGTCGCCGGCCCAGTAGGTGGCCTTCTGGGCCCATTGATAGGAGGCGATGACGGGGATGCCAAGGTCTTGGAAGCGGTTACGGTCCTCAGCGGAGACGAGCTCGGCGTGGGCAATGCCAATGTCGTGGGGGGCAAAGGTCCTGTTCATCGCGGTGGCGACGTCGAGCATGGTTCGGACGGCCTTGTCACCGCTGGCGTGGACGTGGAGACCCATTCCGGCGTTCAGAGTCAAAGTAAGGAGTTTCTGGAGCTCGGTTTGGTTGGTGTTGGGAAGACCGACGTGGTTGCCTGGGACCCAGTTGCCCTTGGAATCTTTAATGAGGTAGGGGTTGAGGAGCCAGCTGGACTCGGAGGAAGAAGGCAGAATACCGTCAATGAAGAACTTGACGTTGCGCCACTGTTGGCCTGGAGCGGCGACGAGCTCCTCGTCCAACTGCTTCCTGCTCGCCACTGCTTGGCTTATGATGGTTGGGAAATCAGTGCTTCCAAAGATACCAAAGTTGTTGAAGACACGAGCAGTCAGCTCGTTGGTAGACTTGAGGCTGGACCAGGCTGTGTGTGGCGTCTGGAGTGCGTCCAAGAAGCTGGTGATACCCTTGCGGCGTAGCTGCGAGATGGCCGCAGTGGCGGCATCCAGCTGGGCAATGCCACGGTCTCCCATGAGAGCTCGGATGGGAACAACGGCGTTTTCCTCAAGCACACCAGTGAGGTCTCCCTTGGCATCACGTCTGATGTTACCACCGGGGGGGTTAGGTGTGTTGCGGGTAACATTAATGAGCTGAAGAGCTCTGGAGTTGACAAAAATGTTGTGCTGGCTGGAAGCAATGATAGCAATTGGCCGAGTCGTGTTGAGTGAGTCGAGCATGGACTTGTTGGCGTCTCCGTTCAGAGTCGTGAATCCTTCACGATCCCACTCAGTGACGGTCAACAGGCCATTCTGGCCAGGTTGCGAGTCAATGCAGGCTTGAATGATCTTGCGGAGGCCCTCTGGAGAGAGCTGCTTGAAGCGCAGAGTACATCCAAGCATTGCTCGGCCAGCATCGAGGGGGTGGATATGGGCATCGATCAGGCCAGGGATCATTGATTTGCCGTTCAGGTTGATCACCTTGGTTGAAGCTCCAACGGCGGGCTTGCAGTCCTCTTCTTTACCAACGCATGTGATTGTGCCATTTGTGACGGCCAATGAACCTGCGGTGATGGTGTTGCTTTTGTTGTCAAGAGTGTGAATAACTCCATTTACAAACACTGTATCGGCGACAGGCAGTGAGGCAGCACGAGGAATAGTGCTACTCAAAGCCGACCCTGCCAAGCTGGCAAGCAATAGGCCTTTGATAGCTTGAGACATATTGGTGTGATTTGAATGTCGAGTCGGTTATTATGAAAAGCAACGAGGAAAGCAAACTGTCTGGAGAGAGCAGAAGGTGTTGAGAACGAGGGAAGATCAAAGCTGGATGCTGATGATGCTCCTCTACTTTGCAACCATAGTTGACTTATATATTTGCCCAGCCTGCTACGAAAACAAGACTTCGTCTTGGAGCCTGCACTGGCTCTCCTGCACAGTCCTGCGCGTATGATGTGTAGAGCGTTTACACAAGGGACGCTAAGCTTCACAAAATACAGTATTATCCGAAATCCACCAGGCAGGGCCCTGTAGCTGCCCATACCCAAAGAACACGACGGTTACTATTTGCAGCGCCACATGGCACCAGTGTTCTTTCAGGATACTGGGAAATGATAGTCGAGTGCGCAGCAATGGTATATGCAGCTATAGTATACGAAGCTATAATACGCAACTACACGGGGGGTAGTCCTATACGCATCTATGGTACAACTCGCATGGGATTGCCTAAAACAGCTAGTCGCTACCGGATGTTAAAGGCTTAGCTTGATACCATGACGGACTTTCAGCCACATCCCTTGAAACCGGTGAGGCTTGTCTCTCGTACAGGCATGTTGTTGTGCCAAGTACTGTTGCACGTTAGTGCAATTAAAGTACAGGCTAGAACGTCTTGTCTGCATTGCTCAGGCTACTAGAAGTTGACAACTGGAAAGGAGAACTTGGATTTTGGATCTGTGAATGACTAGGACTAGGCCTATTTAGGTAATACATCTGACCATACATGCTGAGCCACAATTCTGACAGGTAGTAAGTACTTCCATAGCTGGTGAACACAAGCAGTCTTCTTGTGAGAACCCAGCCTCTGATTGTCGCCTATTTAGGAAGGTATTCTGCCTGTTAATCGACACTAGGATGGCCTTGGAAAGCCAGAAATGGCTCTCGCACCATGTCGGTCTGCGCACGTGCATCCGGGGCTGCCCTGAATTTCGGCCCGTATCCATCAGCATTGCGACCATTCGTCCTGTTTGATCATACGCCGGGTCCAGTCCCTCCTTGAATGTACAGAAATGTTGTAGTATGACTTGCATACGCACGCGAGGGCCCATGTGCCATCGGACCGTCTCCCGCCAAGCCGGAACCTACTTATTAAACTGGACCCCCAACGGGCGCTAAGCTGCGTAGCCAGGGATGTTACGTTGACGTTACGAAGACAACACTACGGTGCATTAGGATCAACCTCGACAACCGACGTTGGGCTTTCCTTTCCAAGACAAAGTCAAGACGTTATAAGGTGGTGTTGGTCGGGGCTTCAAATTCTTTGAGAGCAAAATATACGCCGGTGTGCGAAGCAGAGGCTTAGATCTACCTATATTGCCACTTGTACGGACTACGAGGGCTAGCTGCGGACCAACACTCTGTACATCGTACGAAAGGTACCTGCCAAGCCCTAATGTTGATTGGATGGGCCGTATACCAAGATGTTAGTAGACAATTTCTAAAACATCATTGAAGTGATCGGTGACAGTCATGTCTGCCCTATTTTCATAACTCGGGCAGAATGCCGCATAAAATCCTGTATAGGATCATTTCCAGTCGCCAATCCAGACGTCTTGGTGGCATTGCTACAATTTTGCCCCTAATGAGCTTCTGGGCCTGCGCAGAAAACGTGGAGAAACAGCAGGATCCTTACTAGTACAGGCTTGTCTCATACGCTTCTTCCGCCAAGTCCATACTCTAGACGGTGGGCTATGAGAATACCAAGGATTTCCTTATCCAGCTGTCGCTCTCCCTGAAGATCATTGTCGTGGACGATCAGCTTTCTGCATTGGGGCTGAAGGACCTGGGAATTCAGGCACAATGCATAAATTTCTGGGTGTCGTTTTTCTACGGAAATAGTTTTTGGTGCTATACTTTGCGGCTTTTCATCACTGGACGCAAGTGGCAGGACATCCGTCTCCCTGACCAGTATTGTGAACGTGTTGAAATTGTGACATATGTGTCGGGCGCTATGTTGTTCATATGTGCATATATCATTCTGTAATCATACACCAGGGACAAGAAAACTCACGTGGCTCTGGTCAGGCGTCAGTGTGTCACACAGGAATGGGTTTCAGTAAACTCTTAGCACGCAGAGTTTTCACCTCTTCATCTGCAAGTCTTGGTAACATGAACAGAGGTCTAGGCGAACGATATCAGACGATCATTTACGTCAAGAAGTCTTGTGTAGGCAGTCAGACGCTTGAGGCGGTGTCATACCCGTAAGGCTAGTCTCCGGTCTGACGATTTAGGTCCGCATACCGTTTTTTACAGCCATGTCCTAGCTGACAGATTCCTTGATAATCCTCCGTTCAGCCGCATACGTAGACCAGGATGGACACGGTCATCCGACGGATCGTTCTGGGTCTTCACAGCTGCCTAGGTATAAGGATCTGTAGCTGCGTGCTGGCAATCCTGCCATCGGTCCGAAATCACCATTTGGTGAGTCCGTGAAACCCAGCTAGTTGAATTCTTGCAGTAGGCTTCTCCGTTAATTCCATGACACACGGCCCGTATTGCAATTCGCCAAGACAACCGATGCACCGAGCCGAGTATACGCTCGGCTGATCCACTCTTCCGAGCGTTCGACTACTTATTAGTAGTACTCCGGTGTAGCCGCATGGTCACGCTCAATTTAGCGCATTTGTCATCTGGTCGAAATTAAACACGGTTGTATCTAACATGTTGAAATCGACTACAATGAGCACTCATTCATCAACTGTACATGCGTTCCTCATCTTCTCATGTTCATAAGCCTTGCCATTATATCGATAACACTGAATCTCGAACAAACTCAGATTTCATCGTATTAATTTTATGAAGGAAGATAGCCTATGGCAATAATGTCTCAGATGATATCTGAAGTGGATCACTGCCCTACTATCTAGAATAAAATAAATGGATCAAAACGAGCTCTGTAAGCAATATTATCAAAGTAGCACCATTTTTCCAAAATACTTTAGAATCAAGAATGCAAGAGTTATCCTTCTATTAGAAAACCCATTTTAGCCCATGTACCAAGAATAAATATACTCTTCCATACTTTCTCCATCGCCACCCAATCAACCCATTACCCAAACCCTTCGAAATATGGCCAGCCTCAGATCCTAGTGCTTACATACACCCCACCATCCAACTCGATGCACGCTGATTGGTCTATGACATCATGCCCCTCCCCCCCACTAACACAACAACACCAAACATCTTATCACAACCCCTCCTTCCCCCAATCAAACCATTTACAAAATCCCCACCCACTCACTTCTCTAATCCTCTCTCCCCCAAAGTCGTCCCTCCTAAGAAAAAAAATCCTCTTCTAATCCTTCATCCCCCGCCCACAAAAAAAACATCATCCAAAATGGTCAAATGCCCCGAATGCGACGCAAACGCCGATCTAACAAAAGACGGCGCATGGGCGCACTGCGCTTCTTGTAAGCTTTTACCCCCCCCTAAACCGCCAAAAGAATACACGTTTCTTTTGCTAAAAGTTTTGGCCGGAAAAAAAAGGTAATACGATTTTTCAGCCAGGAAAGGATGGGAGCCACTACCGAGGCGGGGGTAGCGGGTCGGGTGATAAGGAAGAAGAGAAGAAGAAGAAGGAAGAAAGTAGTAGTGAGAAATAAAGATGATGGCAAGAGGAGTTAGTAATAGGGCTTGAGTGGTGTGGTATGTGTGTGTGTGTGTGTGTGGCGCAAATCTACTTGCATATGCGGGAGCACGGTGGGGGGAAGTTGCGTGCGGGGAAGTTAGACGCGTCTGTGTTCCACCTCCCCGCGCGTTAGTAGGATATAACGGATAATGGTGGAGGGTAAGAGTGGGTTACGAAGATCAGCTCTCTCTTTTTTTTTTCTTCTTTCCTTGAAGAAAATTAAATAAACGCGTCTAGTAAGACTTTAAATCTTATTTCTTTGTTAAAACCCGCCTTTTTTTTTTCCCGTCAGTCATACATTTTTACATCTTTCCCAACAATTCTCGGCGAGACAAAAGCCAGCATAAAACGGGGGGTGGGAGATATATTTCCTTTCCCCCCCTCAAGCTTTTTCCGTAGTTATTCTACCTGTGTATATTCTTACACAAGAAAAGAAAGAAAAGAAAATGCAAAACCCAAACATAGTCCTGTACGCCCCTCACACGGCAAAACTGGAAGACAGACCCATCCCCACCCTCTCCTCCCCCCACGATGTCATGATACGGATAAATTACATTGGCGTCTGCGGTAGCGATGTGTGTTTCCCCCCCCCCTCCTCCCTTCACCCTCGCACCAAAAACCCAAAAAATCCATGCCCCCCCCCCCTTTTTCTAACAAAAACAACCACAAGGTCCACTTCTGGCACCACGCCTCGCTCGGCAACGCCATCAACCCCCGCACGGGGATAACCATGGGCCACGAAGCCTCTGGCACGATCCACTCGACGGGGTCGCTGGTAACGCGCGTGGCACCCGGGGACCGGGTAGCGCTGGAACCCGGGCGGCCGTGCCGGCTTTGCCACGCCTGCAAGTCCGGGGCGTACAACTTGTGCCGTAGGATGCGGTTCGCGGCGTCGCCCGGACGCCCGGATACGCAGGGGACGCTGTGCAAGCTGTACGTGTTGCCGGAGGATCTGGTGTATAGGATTCCCGAGGAGCTGGGGCTGGATGAGGCGGTGCTGGTGGAGCCGTTGGCCGTCGGGGTGCATAGTGTTAGACTAGGAGATGTGCGGGCTGGGGAGACGGTGGTGGTCATGGGGGGCGGGACCGTGGGGTTGCTTTGTGCGGCTGTTGCGAGGCAGTTTGGGGCCTTGCGGGTTGTTGTTGTGGACGTGTTGGAGGGTAAGCTGGGGTTTGCGAGGGGGTATTTGGGGTGTGACACTTTTCTTGCAAGGGGGGAGGAGAGCGCGGAGGAGGGGGCGGAGAGGTTGTTGAGGACGTTTGGGTTAGGGGTTGAGAGCGTGGATACGGTTATTGAGGCTTCGGGGGCGGCCAAGAGTATTGAGATGGGCATTTTGGTGCTGAGGCCTGGGGGGAAGTTTGTACAGACGGGCTTGGGCAGGGCCAAGGTCGAGTTTCCGATTGTGGCCATGTCGCAGAAGGAGCTCATGGTTAGGGGGTGTTTTCGGTATGGGCCTGGTGATTACGATTTGGCGATTCAGCTGTTGGATAAGGGGCTAGTCGACGTAAAGCCCCTTATCAGTTCGGTGACTCCGTTTGAGCAGGCGACGGAAGCGTGGGAGAAGACATCGAGGGGCGAGGGAATCAAGAACCTCATCCAAGGCGTGGTTTAGCTGTTTGTGAGGGGCATACTTGAAATATATATCGTATGGACCTGGGCATCACACAAATCCTCTCATCTAGTCACCATGTCTCCTCTTTCTCTTCTTTCCCGCATTGCTCTTTACCTCTCGCTCATCACCGCCCTCTTTCGTAATTCCCGGCAGTGGAAAAACAAATGTCTCCATCTCCTCGCCATGAACAGCCCAAATACCATTGACCCAGCCCAAATTTCTCAGACAGCGATTCCGTTGGTCCCGGGCTCTTGTAACACCAATATCATCGCATACTTCAACCTTTAGGCTCACCAGCCGCTCTTTATCGTAATCATTTCGACCATTGTCGAAGCTTGCAAAAACCTTTATTGGTTCGTCGTGAGGAAGATAACCAGTTGACTGACTGGTTCCTACATACGGCCCAGGTGAGATGAAAAGAGCGACCGGCTCTGAATCTGGAGGCGCGGAAGCAAGTCGTGCAAGGCGAAGCTCCTCCTTGTTTACAAGAGCTCGATAGATTGCGTACATATTATCCAGTACATAAGACGTGGATAAATAACCTTCCCCTGGGCGTGGCGGGTGCTGATCCAACTGGATGTGTCTGCGCATGTGCCTGACAAGCTTGCCATCCCCCAGCTTGTCCATAAGTATTTCAAGCACTTGGCAAGCAACGTCGTCAAGTTTGCGCCTTCCGGTCTTCCGCTCTGGAGGCGACCAATTCACCGTGTCTAACTCTGTGAGAAGAAGCAAATCAGATCGATTCCCCTCATCATCTAATTGCTTGTCGGATATCAAATCGAAAAGGTATCCTTTTGTCTCGATTCCACGGCGGGTGATGATTGGCGATACGAAGCGACAGCGATCGATAAATGTTTGATGACGTATCCGGCCCGGGGCGGTGAAAAGAGATTGGCAAGCGTTGAGGTATGACGGTAGTGTGTGGCTTAGAATATTGGCTTCAGTAGGAAATTCAGATGAGCGATCAAGCAAAGGCCATTTGACTGGCACCCCTGGGATATTCTTGAATATTTCTCCATTCATCAAGATTACGGTGAGAAGAGCTGCAGAAAGACTGTAGGTCCCAGATTCAACCAATGGTGATCCCTCTCCGGTATTGAGCCGCTTTTTGAACTTCAAAGCGTTGGCAAGTATGGCGATTCTATCCGACTCGCTCTCTAACCAGCGGCTACTAATGTCATCGAGTACACTTGCAGTCGTGGTTGGATACGCGTAGATCTTGGTGTAGTCGGACTGTGTGCTGGACTTGCTCGCCTCACTACCAAAACTTGACTCGACATCACAGTGACGTGGAACACACTGTATTGTCGCTGTAAGGTCCAGGTTATGAATGATCTTATTGCAAATGTTGTACTGCGTCACTTTTGCCAAGATCTCGGTACTAGGCCATCGTACTTCACCCGTGGTACACGCTCGACAAAACATTGTCACAGTTTGTCGGAAATCCTTGAGCCTTACCTGAAGCTCGCCTGGTATTTTCCCAAATTTGTATTGACCACTCTTATCGAGCCGCAGATTATATGGGATGAGCAACACCATCTTCTGGGACGCAAGATGGTCTTCTTGGAAGATCCAGCCGCGCGACCAGCGGGGATCGCTGAGGATGTGAAGAATCAACATCTGCACGGCGGTGACGTCGACCTCTGGTCGCAGTTTTAGATTTTCCTCGTCTTCGGCATCGACAAAGAGAGACTTGGAAAGCAGATTCGACAGCATATCGATCTCGCGTTGGTCTTGGATCTCGACAGTTAGTATGCCGACAGAATGTGTGCTATCACCGTAGACCATGTCCATGACCTGAACACCAAGCTCTTGGTCTTTCGGCGACGTGCGCTTGTCTTCCGGCCGTTGGTATATGCATTCTATGTCGACCCATAGTCTCGTAATTTTGACACTTTGTGCATATCGGACAACCCGGTCCATGTAATGGTCCGGAAATCCACTCTTATGGGACGTTTTACCTGGTCGTTTGATCTGGTAGCGGAAAACAGGCGGATTCATAGTACTAGAGACGGATTTTGGGCGAGCCTGAGGCCATTTGTAAGAGACGGCAATATACCTATCGCCATTATCGTCTTCCCGTTTTGTGATGGGAACATCGTAGGATGGTGGTATTCGTTCAAAGAGCGGATCCTTCTCTTCTGACTGCGAATAAAGGCGTTCCTGCTTCAACCGTTCGGTCTGCAAGTCTGGAACTTTTGAAATGTCGAGGAAGCGCAAGTTTTCTGCCCACTTTTCAGACTCCCTTCGGTCACATTGGTACTCTTGGATCTCCAAGAGTTGATTACGGAACGCGTCAATGTCATTGTTGAAGATTTCGCCAAAGGTCTTGTGGAGATCATTCTTCATTGCGACAGCGAGTGAGACAAGGGTGAATTACAAAGAGATTTATGCGGTTGGTTGAGGGCAGCAGCGAAGGAACGTGTGCGGCTGAAACGCGTGCAAGCGCGTCTTCACGTGAAGGCTTGGCATCGCGCTGTCGTGACCGGATGCAAAGGGTCGGTCAATCAAAAGTAAGCATGCTTTAGCTCGTATAAGGGCTGGCCCTGCATGAGTTTAAGAGTAAAACTAGTGTCACATGAGACGTGTATTGCATGTGGACAAGCAAAAAAGATGTATCCACATCCACAAACAAGGCTGTAGTTGGGCAGCAGTCAATGTTTGATGTTGATGCCATTCGACGAGATATACAAATACACCTACGCATCAAGGAAACAAAATTCGTACACATCCATTTACAGCTTCGCCTTCGCATCCCCGACGTTCGCCTTCTTCAGCACCGCCTCCAACTTGGTCGCCTTCATCACATTGCCCTTAACCTTGAGCTTCCCACTCATAAACAGCTTCTGCGCATTCGCCTTGCCCAAAACCAGCTTGCCAAACTCCTCTTCGGGGAGCGTAAGCGTCACATCGGCTTTTTTGCCTGAGGGCGCCGCACCCTCACCAACGGTACCGCTCTCCTTGAGGTCAAGGTACCATTGTTTTTGCTCGCCGGCCTTGTTCTTGAGGTTGAAGGAGAAGATGGCGCCGCCGGTTTTGATGGCCTCTTTGCGCGCGGCCTCGGTGGAGAGGGCGCTGGCGATGTGGTCGAAGGCGATGGAGGCGGGGAATGCGTCTGGGGAGGGTTAGATGTGTTCGGATTATAGGCTTGGGACGCGGGTGTTTTTGTACCGTTCTTGAGAGACATGATGGCTATATGTGTGTATGTGTGTGTGTGTGTATGTATGCGCGATGTTATGTCGTGTTTGCAGAAGCTCCAGGCTACTTGTTGCAGATGTTGATGGGTGGGCGCACAGAAAGCGAGTTGGGGTGGGCGTGTGGAGAAATGCAAAGGGGGCACGGGGACAACGGGTATATAAAGGCGTCTGGAAGCTTGTGAGAGGGATGATGATGTGATTGTCCGCGAGCCGTGAATCCGGGGAAATGACCTCAAGCATGTGAATGCGATCAGCCAAGACCCCGTGGGACTTCATATGATCAATGCCGAGGCATTGCCGCTTTGGGGCTGAGCACGTGGATACGGGTTCGGGAGCGCTAAACTCTGTTGGTGCGAACGTCTCGCATCTCTTGCCGTTATTTGCGTGGTGAGGTCCAGGGTGTATGTACATGCGAGTAATTTTGAGTTTGGTAACAACATCAAGACAAGGCATAGAAGAATAAAAAAGAGATTGTTCTATTCGTGAATCATAATATGTATGGGCTAGTCTTTTATGCAATCATGAAATCGTAAACAAACGTATAGTCGTAAAAGGCCATCATCGTCATCATCTAGACATGCGCACACCAACAACCCAACAGAGTAAAAAGAAACCAATGACAAAGGAAAATCTAAAAACGACAGGACAGGTCTATCGACCCAAGTAGAAGAGGTGAGAGTCATGACAAGGAAAAAGCAAAAAAAAGAACGAAAGAGGAGAGAAAGGGATATACCACCATCGACACTAGCCAACATCAACACGCCATAACCGCGCCACCACCCTGCTTCCACCCAGAAAGATGAAGCAACCGCTTGCTCCCACCCCAAAAGCTATCCTTGTTATTATTGGGCGCCATGCCGCTCTTATGCCTCGGTCGGCCCAACCACCTGGAAAGCGCATGCTCCCTCCTCTCGCGTCCACTCGCCATCTCAATCGCGCTCTCAACCTCCTGCATCAGGGGCCCCATAATCCTGGGCTCGGGCGGCGCAATCTCAACCGGCGACAGCATAATCGGGACATCCATGACTTCCTCCTTGTACTGCTTCCAGCTGTCGCTACCGGAGATCCATGTGAGGGGCTCAAGGGCAATGTCCCAGTCGCCCTCGCGGAGCTTGACGTCTTCAAAGTTGAATTCGCGGAGGGTGCTGTTGTGCTTGAGGATGAAGTCGGTGATTTGGTAAGAGTCCATGATGGCGTTTTCGAGTTCCATGATGCGCAGGCGGGGGAAGGTGAGGGGGCGGGGGCCGTGGGGGAGGGTGCGGAGAGAAGGGTGCTGGGTGCTTTGGTCTTGGGTGGGGAGCATACAGGGTTCGAGGTCAAGGGATAGGGGGGAGGGTCCGCGGGCGCCTTTCCAGCGGAAGAAGACGCGGGTGAGGTTGCGCGAGAGGGTGGCGAGGTAGGCGTGTAGGATGCGGAGGTGTTCTAGAGATTGAGTGCGGGTTCGGAGGGATGTTGATGCAAAGGGCACGCTCTCCATGCAGATGGAGAGCCGGCGGATCTGTCGCCAGCGCTTGGCGGACGATGGTGTGCTACCTAAGCCGTGCATGGGGTGGAGGTAGAGTAGGCCGCCTGGGTGGATGGGAAGAAGTGACAGAGCAGAGAGGCTGTACAGTGGCGCGCGCTCAATGGCAATGCGAAGGGAGATGAGGGCATAATCTACAACACCACGGCGATGCCTATGTGCACCGGTAGATGCGGGGCACGAGACTTTGAGATGAGTGAGGTTAATGAGTTCGGAAAAGGCAGCGCAAAAGGCAGGAACGTTAGTAGCCGCATGAAACAGGGGCGGGTACTGCTTGATGAGCAGATCTTGCATCTCCCAGGTGCCGTACTTGGGTGCCTTGTCCTTGGCTGGACCACACTGCGGGACTTGAACTTGCGGCTCATAGAGGAATTGCTTCTCTGTGCCAGTTAATGGGTCGATGATGGGGGGTAGGCAGGTCTCTGGGGTATGGGGCATGTAAAAGGTAAAGGTCTTGACATGGCGACCTATCCTTGAAAGCGCATCCATGCGCGCAGGCTTGGTAAAGGTGGAAGTCTTGAACGTCACAGTCATCTTTTCAAAGAGTCGCGGTGCGGCCTTTGACGAGAAGTCGTGGCATACAAGGCGCAAGTTGGCTAGGTCTTCAGCCTCGACGCGGTTAAGAACATTTTCGCGACAGTCATCGTTGAGCCAGAAGCGCAAGAAGACGGAGCTCGTAGAGAGCACCAGGTTGCAGATGGAGCCATTGGACGGGATTGCTTTGGTTTTGTTAACATGCGTGAGTGCATGGTCACGGCAGAGGGCTGCTTACATCTTCCATCAGCGCTCGTCACTGGACTAAGTGGAATTTCACCAAATAGCAGCTTGGAGCTTGATCGCGACACAGTAGTAGCAGCGCTGCCATGGCTGTTGTGGCTTGCTCCCGAATTCGATCGTTTCAGCGGCGGGGGTGTTCGTCGCTGTGAGTACATTTTGGGTATAGTGGATGGTGTGGCATGCAAAAGCGGGTATCGATTGGATGCAGGGTGGGTATAAATCCGTCACGGAATCAATCTCGTAGTGAATTTCAAGAATATTGTGAGAGTCGTGTCAAACATCCAGCATTCGAGCAAGGCAAGAAAAAAAGAGTAAAAGTCGTCAGGAAACAAGACGAGAGCAAGGCCATGGCCGTGGTCGAAACGGTATTTACCTTGTCTGGCCATGTTGCCAAAAGCGGGGCGGGCTCCACGCTACACGCGAGCATGCAAGTGTGAGTCAACGATGTGTTCCCGTAGGGGCCAACGGGGTTGCCAGCAGATGTGCAGGCGTTAAGGCAGAGTCGGTGCAGAATTGATGGGAAAACACGACTATGTCGCGGTGCGAGGACGTGTATATATGGTGTTTGACGCGACGATTCGACCAAGTGGCCGAGTGTACCTGCAGCCAAGGCCGGGCTTGAAACAAGTCGACGCGGGCGGCCAATGGGCGGACGAGGCGCAAGAGAGGGTGCATGGCGCACTCGCAGTAGTCGTGCATGGTGTTGGCGGCCATGTCGAAGAAGCGGTGGCTGGCCGTCTGTGACTGGCTGCCAGCCCTCGAGTGCGCGTGCAGGCCTGCTAGCCCGTCGACAAGCCAGGCACGACGCGTCGGGTAGGCAGTCTTAGTGACCTGCACGTTGTCCGGGAGAAACGCGATTCGGCCAACGACGACAACAATAAACACCTTTTGGGTAGACGATTCGCCTGTGTTTCACCGACCGCGCCCCGAGAAAACGTGGGCTGCAGGTGCGAGGTTATCGATTGCTAGCCGCCAAGGCGCGAGACGAGGCCGAGGCGGTGGCGTGGGCAGCGTCAAGTCAACACCACGCCCATACATACACAACACACCAGCATCGCGTAAACACCTCGCGTGCATAGTGGCTTCTTGCCGCCATGCCACCGTGCCATCCACATACTTAGCCTCGCCGGCCACACGCACCCCGCACCCTTCCAAAGGCGCCCTCCCGTCTGCAAAGAGAATCAAACACGCCACCCTCATGATTGGACACCAGCCTCGACATGCACATCGCCAAATAAAGACACTGTTTCATTCTGCTCCACTTGCTCCCCCCATGTTTCCACGCTGCCATGAACAAGAACACCTATTGGATACAAAGCCAAACACATCCTCTCCTTCCCGCCCTCTTGCATGCCCCCCCACTCTTGCTTCCGCTTTCCGCACCCGCTTGAGACCTCTGTCGCGGCCCAAGCATCTTCCTGGCCATTCTATGGCCCTCTACAACTGCTGCACTGTCGATCCGCGGCCGGACTCTCCCCTGTTCTGCCCACTGACCACACCCCCCTCTCATCGTCTCTTTTCGTCTGCGAATCCAGACCCGCCTTCGGGCACGGGAGGTGGTTGGTAACTGCCCCGATACCCATTGATGGGCGGAAGGTCCTGTCCAACTGCGTCTTCGTAGCTCGGTGGTGCATCCTCATATGACGGTGCATTTTGAGCGTGTACCGGCTGCCCGGCAAACGCGTTGTTGTTGTTGGCAAAACCCACTTGTGGTGAGGGCGGAGTATGCAGAGCCTGTCCATGCTGCGGAATGTGAAGTGTGGCCGGCTTCCCGGCTGCTTGTGCATTGAACCCAGCCTCCAGCAATGCTTTTGGAGGCGCAATGCCCGAAAACACCTTGACTGGCAATCTGAGCGGCAAGACAATGAGCTGGTCCTCTCCATGCTTGTAGCTCCCATAGCCCAGGCCAACCCGGATTTCCAACTCGTAGAAGCGAGACAGATTGCACGTGGTGAAGCTGGGTGATACAGTATTGGGCACCGTCTTGCCAGACCAGTACTCGGGATTGATTGGAACTTCAGTGTCTATGGCGTCTGTTGGCGACCCAAGTGGTATCGCCATGTTGCTGAAAGAACACAATATCCAGCTGTTCGACTCTGTGCGCGACACTTCATGTGCTTTTACTCGCGTATATCCAATCAGCTCAATCTGCAGCATTTGCAGGTATATGTTCTTGCTGCGAGGGCTAACGTTCTTGATAAGCACGCGTAGCGGAAGGTCTTGATTGATTGTAAGAATGGCAGGGTTTGGCAGTCGTGCATCAAGAGCTACGCGTGGCCCCATACTGCCCGGCGGCTGTGCAGACCGCATGCTTGCCGAAGAACTCTTACGGTCCAGGAAGCTGGGCATCTTGCTTGCTGCTACGCTCACCGCATTCTCCAAGAACTCATGCTGCCTTCTTGCATATGCCTCGCCGTCTGTCCGCTCTGGCCGAGGTGGTTCAATGGGAAGAAACGTAAAGTTTGCAATTGCTCGCGGGTTCTCCTTGAAGAACGACGGCCTACTGACCGTCACCTTGACAAAGTAACGTATCTCCGCCTCGCCAGGAAAGCCACTCAAAGTGGGCGGTAGTGTAGCCTTGATGTGCTGCGTTGGTGTCTTTGCGAACTCGGGAATTGTATTCGAAAACGAAACGGTCGAAATTGGGTTGTTTGTTTGTTGGCATTGCGTATTCATAGGGAGCTGTGGTCAACGTTAGCTCTCTGCATGACTGACATTAGGCATGCAGCATTCTTCGCACCTTGAATTGAAACGGATATTCATATGTGCCAGCATTGATGGTAAAAGCTGATTTGGGATTGATGTCTTCCGGACGCACATTGGTTGGCCATACCAACAGCGTCTGGTATAGGAACTTGTGTATTTCTAAGACGGGTCTCTGCTTGTCGGGTCTATTTGGATGTACGGGCGCCAACAGCCGGGTCCTGCTCTCGCCCTCGAGCTTGACGATGATGCTGCTGAGGTTCGTCGGATTCGGCACGCGCAAAGAGACCTTGCCTTGTATCACATCGAGATTGGTATAGTGATCGTGCGGGTGCTCCAGCACGATGTTGACAATCATGTTGGGCCGAGGTATGCTGACTGCGTTGTCGGGTCAGGCTTCAACGTGTCGTGACTGCGCGCGGTGGGAAGAAAGTCGCAAACTTTATCGAGGCAGGAGCAACATGTCAAGGTCAGAAACTAGACTGGTGCAGTACAGGCCAAACCAAATGCATTGGCGACATTTCTCATGCAGCGGCTAAGCCCGAATTACGCGTGTCACGTCTTGAGGGCGTTTGTGATCACAGCCTGAAATATGTCGCAAAACGGATGCCTGCGGGGGTTCTTTTGGCAGCCTCCCCCGCAGACGTCATGGCGTGAGCTTTGCACCGATAACACCATGGTAATGACAGACTTGCGCCCACCATATACAACTAGATGTATCAATTAATCATCATATGTCTTGCCTGTTTCCCCGTTTTTCCATCCTCAATACATGCGCATCCCTCGAGGTGCCATTTTCCTATGCTGGATGACTTGCAGTATGACACAGCCCCATCTACAGCCGCAGTTCCGGCGGAAGCCAGCCACCCCTGTCTGATTGCAGTATCGTACTTCGGCGCAGCAAGGGACCCATTTGCGGCTGATCCGGCAAGGGTTGGATGGATTTTGTCTTTTTGGAATAATAAATTCCAAGCTGTTCAACGACTTCGACTTGCGCAAACAAAACAGCCATTGCTATCATGCCTGAATTGGGTTGATCAGCTGACGGCATTCCGTCTGCATGCTATCGTATCCAAGCGATTACAAGTCTTCCTTTGCTAGCATATCTAGATAGTATCAGCAAAAGTCTTAGAGTGATCCGACTATGGACTGCCTACCGCAGATGTCAAGATAGAATGCAATGGCGTTGAAACTAGAGCATGGTCAGCTTCACCTCAAACCACAGACAAACTCGGTTATGCATACTTGCGCTTGCTGCCGGTAAGCTCCCAAAAGAACCACTTCAACCGGTTCGTCCAGTTGATCAAGTCCAGATGGCTCACACCAATCAGCGTACCTTTGTAGTCACCCCATCTGCTTGATTCTACACTTTTCAACTGCTTAGCCGTTTTCCCATGCACATGCTCAAGCCCATCTAAACATACCTAACTAACCCGTCATTTACGCCCTCAATGGGCTTGATAATTGCGTGTGATGGTGCAAATATGGACCACCGGCTGGGCTCCAAGGATGCGCCATACGAGTAATACTTGACATCAGCTATGTCTGGAGTCCTAGGGTTGAAGCTTGTCCTCATATATTCCTGTGTAAGCTGCGAGAACGCCCCCGTTTCAAGTCCAAAGTACTCCATAGCCTTGTAGATACGTTTGATCCGGCGAGCTAGACGAGTCAGTACAGGGCTTCAGGAGATCTCATAGACATACGGCCAATGGTCTCAAACATGTAGTCTGCGAATGCCGAGCCCCTGTGAGGTGTAGCTATAGTGGTCAAAGAGAGGACCTTGAAATCTGTCGGCCGAAGAAGGCTAATCATGTATCGTGAATCGAGTCCTCTGTTATAACTTAGCACATGCTTGTTGCTCAAGAACGCATGTTGTTACCCCTAGCCAATCGTCAGTCAGTTAATGCCATGCCAGTAGTATCATGTCTCATACCATGCTATGTCTGTCATGCGTTAGCAACATATCCATCATACTTTTTGATCTAGACTTTTCACTTACGCAATGATGTTAACTTGCTTGCCCTTGGCTTTGAGTGCGATGCTCTCTGCCAGCTTCGCCGATCTGTTCTCTATACTTCCACTTGGTGGAACAGCGGCGACGATGACTTCAATGCCTTTCTTTGCCAATGCATCTGTGATGCCTCGCCAGTACTGAATACCAGGTATAAACTGGCCTGCTAGGCGCAGTTCATCAAACCCTAGTAGGCCATGGGCAAGGACTATAGTGTTTTTCTGCCAGGGTCAGAAGAGATGATGCAGGGTAGATCTGCATGCATACGGGAGCATCTAGACGGCATTAGCTGCTAGCCCTTGGGCTGACGAATGGTTTGTGCGGAAGTACCATATTTTTCGCGCAGCACAGCAAACTCATCCACAATTTCGCGACCTGCACCGGGTATGCGCGGATCTTCTTTGCGCCATTGCGAGCTACTGAACTGGCGGCAATACGTAGAAGTTGGCTTGGCAAGGATGTGCAGCGGCCTGGATGCAGGAGAGCGCAAAGTCGTTCGAATACATGTTCCAATCATCGGATCATACAGCGTGTTGAGTGGCAATTATGAGATGCGCTCAAGTTTGAGGTTGCACTCCATGTATGACGTAGGCACATTAGCGAACGTGGGCCAGGGTCCGTGACAGCATGGAGAAGCTCACAGCTGAACATGCAACAGGTACTGATAGATGCTGGCGTATCGCATGTCTCTCATGAAAGCAACATAACTTTGAAAACATGTGCCGGGTCTTGTGTTCCAAATACGGGCATGGATCTGGGAACTTGGTTGTAGGATCCAAGCTAGTGGTACGCGCAGATAACCAAACACAACAGGCACTGCTGATGTCATCATAGGGAACCTATGTACTTCACTTGATACATAATGAGACTCTTCTCATAGTGTCTCGTATATTGCATTCAAACCAGAAAGTGTAGTTGAACCTTGGCACTGCAAGGTGCTGTACAGGAAACACCGCTTGCAACGCTGCTCAAAGTGCTCGACTCTTTGACAATAGATGCTCTTGATTACCCGCTTGCATCTCCGAAGGACTGCCCGCCTCTATCCGCCCTTATTTCTTTGGTGGCTCTGGGTGTGCGCTGATGACGGCCTCAATCAACTGGTCAACAACCTTTCCACCTGACTTGTTGCCAATCTCCTCAATCTCCTTGATCTTGGCATCAGTGTCCTTCTTTGCATCCTCTTCGGCCTTTTGGTTGCCTGAGCTGTGCTGCACTGTTGTCAGCATTCTGAATGTCCCATACATATTGACATAGCTCGACCACGTACCTCCTTCTCAAACTTCTGGTACTCGGCCTCCTTCTCGTTCCTGTAATCGTCGATTTCCTTTTGCGCTTCGTTTCGAGCGTCCTTTACGCGCTTGGTGCGGTCTAGGCTGGTTAGAGCGGTGCTTTGGTCGGGTGTATGCAGTCTGATTTACATTCTCTTGCTATTCTGGTGTCAGCGATTGCTTCTGGGAGCTATTTGCGGAGGCAACATACCTTGCTGGACGATCTTCTGGGCTTCACGCTCGGCCTATGTACCATGTAAGCTATGGTGGAGGTGATGGTGGGCTGCGCAGGCTTACATCGAGCAGGGTCTGGATACCCGCAGAGTTTTGGGCGGACTATGGAGGTCAGCATCTTCCGAGATATTGCGCGCGCTGCCCAGCTCACCATCTTGAGTATTTGTATTGTGGAGTTGGTGGTTATGTCAAGGTAGAGTTGCGGAGAGGCATGATGCAGCCGGCGAGCTTGGCGGACGCTGCATTTGTGGTCCAAGCTCCTTGCCGCCTCAGGTTTCCCTTGCAGGTTTTGAGAATTTCAAAAAAGTGTTTTTGACCTCAACCTGCGCACCACTCGACGGTCTCTACAATGTCCCGGGCATCGCAAATCACATTGGCGACCACATGCGTCACTGCAGTTGGCATCGTCGCATTCGTGCATTGGTCGCAAAAGGCCGACAAAGCCGTCAGTACTGCCCGCATCCGGATGCAGCATGGAAACCAATTCTAACACGGATTAATCAGGCCATGCACATGGGAGTTGTGCGAGACTTTGAGCAACAAAGAATCAAGCGGGAACGTCAGGCCGACTTTGAGATGCAGCGAGAACTCGAACAAGAATACAGGAAATACCAGACGGTATCAAATGGCGGAGGACCCGAACCACGGCAAGACCGAGGACCGGGACGATGATGCTTCACATGGTCACTTTACTGTACTGCTACCACTCCACCCCACTCCAATTGCACCCATGACTGAAGAGCATGTGGCCGCACCAGCCCCCGCCATGCACCCTGATTGCGCCACCACCCTTTGGTCCAGCGCATTGGACCGGAGTCAGCATAGCCTCACACTGGTTGTAGAACCAACATCGCGGAAGACACGCTTAGGCGAGGGGGTACAAGGCAACGCTCAGCATCAGACGCTATACCAATTGTCAATCAACAAGCTGCATCGTTTGTTCGGGTGCTTCAAGACGATGTGTGCAACGTTGAAGCAACTTGAAGTTGCGTCACAGTCTCCCAAGAAACAGGCGACCAGGAGATAGACGAGTTGATATACAAAAAAGTCAATGGTATGGCCACAGCGATCAAGTGTCGCTTAGCGTTGGGTGCCCTGCGTGCTCCAGTGATTGCCTAGCAGTGCTTAAACACAACGTGCCAAGCGACCCCAACAATGACACCGCTCACCGGTAGATTGATTTCCTCGGCGCGCTGAATGAGGTCACCCCGCGATACGCCCCGTGCACTTTTGCACACGAGCGGCGCTGATTGACGGGCGGAGACTGTTGTATCTACCGGCCAGCACAAAGACATCGAGGCGCAATGACACAAGTGCGCCTGAGCTGGCAGCCGTGATTTGTTAGCTGCTGCGCGGTGATGGTATTTTGGCCACACGGTTCGGGTTGAAGCGTTGTCTTGGCGTTAAGATGGATCACCATGAGGTCATGTCAAACCCTAGATTTTGTTCGGTGCATCACGCATTGCCTGCGTCAGGATACACAGTAAGGCTGCAAACGACTGGGGAAACGTGCATGTATACATTTGGGCCTGGGTCCCAAACGGCTTTGCAGAAATATGTATGTGCATTCACCTAAGCTTTTTTGCGACAAGACTGCGCAGCCTTTCAGCTGGAGCTCGCTTGCGGCCTTATTCTGGCCCTTTTGGCCTTGAGTCCCAAGGGCTAATCTGCACAGCTCATCAGCACAGGCAACGCGAGTGAAATTAGCCTCGAGATAGGCGGCGTTCATTGCCACGACAAGTCAGGCATTCACACCACAATCGCCTGCCAAGGATGGCTAGAAGAAGGTGGTGGCGCGGAACAGTTGGCTCTATGCTTGGATGACGCACAGGCACACTGCCCATCCCCAGGGTCCGCCTGTCCGCCTCCCTTGTCTACCTTACATTAAAGAACCGCGCTTGCCTCTTTGTCTTTGCCCATTCACGTGTATACATACATAACTATCCCTTCCCTCTTCCCGTGTCCTAAACTTCGACACAAACATTGAGTAGCAAGCCTCTATACCTTGCTCTATATCACTACCTATCTGTTTGATAGTCTTGGCACCCTTGGTCTAAATACTCCGGCCTGGCGTCTTAGTGTCGCACATTACACACGCCACCAACCGTACTGCAGTTCCACATCGACTTCGTCATGAAGGCCTCACAGTTCCTCGCCTACCTATTGGCATCGCAAGCAGTCAGCGCCGCTTCAATACCTGAATTTAGCAATGCGCTCAACGTCCTCGAAGAGCGCCGCGTCGTTCCTGCATCGGAAGTCGTCTCCCCAGACCACACGCTAGAGCGCCGCAAGGGCGGTGGTGGACGTGGCGGGGGCAGTAGTGGAGGCAGCAGCGGGGGCAGCAGCAGCGGTGGCAGTGGTAGCAGTAGTGGCGGAGGCCGAGGTAGTAGCAGCAGCAGCGGCAGCGGCAGCAGTGGACGAACCTCTCCCACATCCAACACCGGTGGCTCTACAAGGGGAGGCTCAGGCGCATCACGCTCTTACGGTGGAGGACGATACTACGGTGGTGGCGCTGCAGTACCTTATTCAGCCGGAAAGAAGACTCCAAAGGGTCTTTCACCCGGCCTCTTGCTCGCGCCCGCCGCAGTCCTCCTCATCATGCCCGGTCTCTGGCTGTACAGCGTCTACCCATACTACTACAACAACCCCTACCGCTTCTACAACCAATCCGCTACCAATGATGACAACGACAACGACAGAAGGAGATCGCTCTGGGCCCGCCAGACACAGGGCCGCAATGAGACGCTGCCTGTTATGTGTCTCTGCCAGGAGTTCAGCGTTTGCGGCTGCGACGAAAACGACGACCAGCAGTATCTCGATGGTCTGGTTGGCAATGGTAGCTACGCCGCGCTCAACAAGTCGCTAATCACCGTTTCCGATGTCAATGGCACTAAGACTCTTGTCCTCAACGGCACCTTGCCCAATGGCACCACGGCGCCTGGCGGTGAGGGTGCAGCTGCTAGCTTGACAGCTGGCAACCTTGCTGGCTACTACGCTGTTGCTCTACTTGTCGTTGCTGGTGTCATGTTGTAGAAATGGATATCCCATTGCGCATCCGCCATTACAGTGCCCTTTCATATCCTTTGCTTGTTTTCTTTATTTCGTGTCATGACCGACACCCCCCCTGTACTTTTACAACGAAGTTACGATTCTCTGAACGCTATAGGAGCGTTGTTTTTGAGCCCAAACGACATTTGGTCTCGGCTGGTTAGTCCATGGGATCCGGGGTCCATAAATCGGCTTGAATTATACCCTCATGCTGCGTTATTTTTCTTACTTTTTGCTTGAATTGATACGGTGGAGATATTAGATTATTCTTGAATAGGATCAGTACACAAACTGTCATTCTCAAGTTTTTGTTTTCTTTTCGTGAAGATCATGCCACAATACGACAGCGAGACTTGTCATATTGAAATCTTACTAAAGACCAGTAGTCGTGTTATTGTGTGATTCCTCTTACTGGCTAATATCAGAAGATGTATCCAAAGTTAGAAGTCATGTTGTATTTTCGAAAATTGCAGGCAAAAAATCAGCAAATGCCGCGCTGGGAAATTTAGACGACAAGTGGTAAACGTTACACGGTACGTTTCTTTTTCCTGGTGCTCGGGTAACAATACATATAGAAATCCGCTGTATGCTGCTAGTTATAATGCGAGCTTTCTCCATTCGTTGCTTTGCTGGCCATGTGTAGGCGTTGCTTTGCTGGTTGCGTGTGTGGACGTGCATGTTGAATTCCAATTCTGGGAAGATGAGACTCACAAAATTCCTTGTGAATATCTAACTGAATGGCCTCAGAAGTTGAAAAATGTTACATAGAGATGGAGAGAAAATAAAATAAAATAAACCCCCCCACTTGTGTCGGCAATTTGGACCTAAAGGTAGCAGTGCCGTGCTGCCAAAGCTTCCCTTGACAAGAAAGGAGGAATGCCTGATGGTTCTTCTATTGAGTTGGTGAAGCCTGGGTGACGAAAACAACGGATATAGGAAGCGAAGACGTTGCGCATATTCAATAATGAATGATAAATCATCGTGCTACTGTTTGACGACTACCAACGTCGGACAAACGCGAATCTTGCTGCTTTTATGACGTAGTGGGAGTTGAGTGAATCTGATGATGTTGAATAAAGGCGGTGTGCATTGCCAGCTATTCCCGTAAGCTTGTGTGCACATTCATCGGTCACTGATGTTGGCGATAGTCGTACGAGTCGTGCAAGCCCACATTTTACTCAGATTCCGGTGAGTGCAAAGCGTTGCAGTATCGGTATGAGAAATCAACCCGAGGGAGTACGCCTCGCTACTAATTCTAAGTGCGCTGGCCTCTGGTCATGACTAGGGAGATTGCACTTGGAGTGTACTGCATAGCATGCAGGTCAGCTGACGTAGTAGGGAGTTGCCTTGACCTGAAGTATCATATGCAAAGTGTGCTTATTAGGGTAACTTGTCGCGAACTCTAGTTTCGAAAACATTCTTTAAATACTGAGTATGCGTTGTTGGAATTTGATAGGACGCCTTTCCTGACAAAAGAATACGACAATGCTATTGCTGCATTGTCATCTCGGGTGGCGTCTTGCGCCTTGGCGTATTGGTAATCGTGTTGGCATGATCTGCCACATTGGCGCTGGAACTAAACCACCACTCGGAGGTTGCGAAGACCATGGTGTGTGTGGGGATGCCGCATATTTGCTTGTAACAGTAAATCGGCACGCATCTTGCAGACTACAACAACCGATCAAGAACCGCCACTTGCCGATGCCGTTGCTGATTCATAGCCAACAAAGGCAGTGTTTTATGTGTAGGCTGTGGTGCCAGTTCTTTTTTTGTTTTTTTTTGTTTTACATGCGCACATTGACGCATCGTTAGGCTCTCCATTTCTCTAACACGAGTTAATTGTGGTTCGAAAGCCGACTGAAGAGCCTCAGCCAACCGACTCTGTTGATTCGGTATTTTCGTTTCAACAGTCCATCAAGATGGTTCGACTCTTAGGTCCGTACAAGCACATTTGGGGTATCCTCCTCCCTCCATACTTTTATTAGTAACGGAGCTAAAGAGGCTAAGGCCCTGATGACTCCGAGAGAATGTCTTCTGAAAGAGGTAAATTTATCCTATGACTAGGATGGCCGCAGGGTTCAATTGCCTTGGCGAGGTATAGGAAACAGATAGGCTGGCGTCTACAAGGACTTCGCCGATAGGCGTGTATGCTTCGACGTAGGCAGTGCTGCGTGAGACTGGCATACCGCCACCACGTGATGGCAGATGACGGGATAGTGCATAGGGCTGCATGTTGCCCACAGGCAGAACTGCGCCGGTGGCGGTGATTTCAGCCCTAAGACGATTCCCGATGTTCTGATGGAGCGATCGGCAAACAGCGATGGATTACCGGCCTCTTGTGCTAGTTGTGGCGAAGCGATGGGATGTTGGCGAGAGGCCCACATAAGGCGGTACCAGCGGTGTACCTGCCTGCCAGCCATGTGTTTATGATACCGTTCGCCAGACGAATACAGAAACTTACTCAATGATAGTATGAATCGACGTCGAACTAAAGAGTGAGATGAGCCGCTATGGTCGACTCTTGAAATAGATGTGCTGCCTATGTGGATGCGCAACGTACGTTGATGTGCAGATGCGCAAGCCCATAGGCAGCACTCAGCTGGTCAGCTCGAAGCTCTGGATGATATCAAAGGTCCATGCACTTCGTGGGGGAGGGGGGGGTGGGAGAGGAGCGGATTCTGTGATATTGTAGAGAACGGAAACTGATCACGTATGCATGGCATGGACAAAGAACTGGGCCATGGTCGGTATGGCCCCGAGGTTGGAAGAGGACAACAGCTCAAGATACGTACGTTAGTAATGCCCCACTAATAGTAGTGTGTAGGTGTCGGCCTTCTTGGCGGCCGTCAAACCGGTTCTCTTCCGCGCCCACGCACGACGTTGAACCCCCAACCTCGACAACCCACGTCCGTGGGCAAACGACGGCCTCCCTCGCACAATGGACCTCAAAAGTGATTCGAGCTTCACCGGACATATCAATCGCAGCCGAACAGCCCGGCGCCTGCTCATGGCGCGCGACATGTCCGACCCAGCACTCTACGTCACTTGCCTCTTGTTCTCACCCATGACCAGCACGCTATGTCAAAACATGTAGCTGACCCTGTCCGTCCAGGCTGTCAGATACAAGGTCACGCACGGATCGTTATTCTAGTGTCAACATTCTACGAACCAGCTTGATGGGGCCCTGCAAGCTACCCTTTGATGGCTAGTATGGTCTGTGCATTGCAGGGGGTTTCCGCCGCCCCCATGTGCAATCACTATCTCCGTAGACACTTGTCCGCCTTTTTGCTTTGCTGCACTCCTTGGCCATCATTTGGTGAAATGCTGAGCAATTCGGAGTCCATCACATGGTTTCAGCCACGGGCCAATAATGTTCAGAGGCGCACAATTAACACCAGCTGAAAGACTCCAACAGGCGACCTCTTAAACCCCTGCCCTATCCAAACACCCAGGCTTTCCTGCCAGTCCGACAAGCCAATGGCCAAAACGGTTTGCTAGCTACCTTTGAGAAGCCCGTTGGAGCGTCTTCCGGCTGACTGCGCACTTGTCCTTACCCGTCCTTTCCGTTTGCATAGCCGACATGACATGCAGTAAGTCGACGATGCATCCGCAGTATGACCCACACTCTGCTTCGTAGTCTACATCATCGCCTTACATCTTGCTATATAGGCCACTGTCGCCTGGTCGAGTCAGGAACCACTCCAAACACCACTTTACCCTCATCAACTATCTCTTTGTTGTTTTGCTTGCGTTCAAGCCATTCCTTCAAAAGCTGCTCTCGATTTTAGACACCGAAAAGAACCCATCGCCACGCACGGTCCCAAGAATGTGTTATCAGGTCGTCGAACGCTACTCGGTCTGCCGATGTCTATACTACAAACACGCCATCGATCCGTGTGCTGCTCATGGACAGCGAGGACATATGGTCCAGGAAAAGACGGTTCTTGTAGGCTATGCTTGCAATACACATAGTAGCCACCGACCCAACATCGCCTACCACGCTGGTGTTCATCCAGATTCTGGCTATGGAAGCAATCCATATTGTTTTGGTCCTTTACGATGAGAGAGCAACATAACCCCAACACTGGCCCAAGAACGGCCATGGAAATCCTTCTAAAATATCGTCTACCAACTCACTCGGCTCCTTGGCCTCTTCGAGCGGGTCACTCGGCGCCAAACCCCACAGCACTGTTGCTTTGCGTCTCTTTGTGCACTTGGAAATGCATGCATCGGTACGGAGTTATCTACAGTCATGACATTATCATGACAGGTCAAATGTATGAGTACAATGGACAGTCGGCGTTTGGATTGGGCTGTAAGATACATCAGGAGGATTTGGGAAGCTTTTTTTTTCCACAAATATCTGGCTGGCACTAGGAGAATCATGGACGGTAAAGCCGCTCCACTTACTTTAGTCTCTGTCGGTACCAACATCATAGCGTTCGTTCCAATATCGCTACATTATTATTCTTACAACTCGCCCAAATCTGCCTTGCGCGGGATGACAGCAACGCTATTCCCAAATGGAAAAATTCTCCGTGCCTAGTCCTGACGTTCTGGTGCGAATGTGCTGCAGGCTAACCAAATGTTGTCCAACTGAAGTATCATGGAGGTTGACGGCCGCATCCAAAGTTCACTAGACGTCATCTTGGCCAAGCAGGCCCACCCTTGAGGCACGTGCGCGTACTACGTTACCGCCTCTTGCCGTACCAAACGTCCTTCCAGACCCTTACCACTCGCCTGTTTCGTCGGTCTGAGAAGCGCCACTTCCCACTCCACGTTTCTACTAAATCACGTAACAATCTCTCGCTACTCCATATGTCGACCTTGTTCCGCTCCCACTGGACCGTTTACTCGCGCTTCGGCCTTTTCCGAATCTGCCGGTCAACGTCCTTCGGCATCTCCATGGCTCGGCCGTTCGGCTTACATATGTCCTCATATACTAGCTGTGGTGCCAGGACTAACTTGGGCGCATACGCAAGCGCACATGTCATTCGCTTAGACAACGTATCTACAAACCCTCCGTTGCTCCGCTGCTGCTGAGAGTTTCGGTCAACGCATGTCTCCGAAAATGCGAAGACGCGGTAAAAGCGTATCGTGCTCTACCAGCGAGGATCGCAGGTTTACCAACTCGAAGTATCCACATGACTTCCTATATTTAGGGCCAGGGCTGGTGTGGCTGTTCCAAGGTCATAGCTCATGAGCTAGGCATCCAATCCTCCTGGCTCGTGGTTGGTGGACCCTGGTTGTTACTCTTACCTGCTGGCTAGACGTTGAATATTGCAGTTACTGCAATCTTTGCGCGCCAATCAGGACTCTAGGTCTCGTTGTTTCAAAGCCCGTTGCCTCTCCAACTCGCAACATGTCGATGTATAGAGCTTTTTGATTCTTGACCGGCTGCCTGGCCCTGCTCAGTTCCCTGTCAGCCTCCAAGCCCGAACCAATTACTGGCAACGGACCTTTGACCGGCTTGAGGCTCTAAGGAACCATCGCTTTCCTATTTCATATTGCCACAGCCTAGTTGTATAAGGCTGAGCATGTCATTACCGCATTTGGTCATAGTACAAGCTGGTCCCGAGAAGTATCCCAACAATCGGTACCGAGTAGCATAGCTGACTTTGTGGGCCTGAACCGATGGCTTCAAATCGATTGCCCGGACATGGCACGGCACGACGGGTTGCGGGACCACGGTCCGGCATAGTGTATCGTCTCCAGCTCGTCGGCAGCCAAAGCTGCAAGGGTCCTTGTGTCAGCCTTGTCAGCCTTATGGCCTTGTAGCCTTCCTTTTTGATACGACTAGTTCTGCCTCTCTGCTGTACTAGTTCTTCCAAGAAGACTCGCTAAACCAACAGGTGTTGTAGTTTGATTGGTAAAGAAGTAAGCAGTAAAAAAAAACCTTGAGAGTGTTACATGCGTTACCGCCTCAGGATAGACCATCCAGTTTTGTCCATATTCCCCAGGGGTTGGTTTATCCCCTTAAATACTCGCTTAGAGCCATGTGGAGATTGTCGTCATAATCCCTCAAATGAATCGAATGGACCTACGAACACGAATGGAATCCCCTCACCCCAAGTAGATCATGTAGCAAATTACACTGGACAGTATCGTCACCACTAGACCCTTCATGCCCAGGTCGCACAATCGCAGTGAAAACATGTTCCCACAAGTCGCATTTACCTACCACCCCACCACTTACATATCTCAATGAGCCCCCCCCCCACGCTCCCTTTTTGTTTTTGTCATTTTGCCACCAAAACTCGCTCAACTCTTTCCTACCCATTTCTTGTCTTCTCAACCCTCCCCTTTTGCAAAATACATGTACGTACCACATGTTTTTCAAGGCGAGCCAATATACCCTTCATAATGCTCACGTCCCCCCCCCCCCCATTTCTCCTCCATCTTCCTTCTCGTATCAGGCATAACCTGCAGATATTCATGCTTACCACACAAATGTATGGTTATGCAAACAGCGAGCTGAGTAATTTCGAAACGTCTTGGGAAGCAAGCAAGCAAGCAAGAAGACATGGCCAGTCATTTCGATACAGTTTGCTTGCGTGGCTTGTTTACATCACACTGGGGTGTGTGGGGGGGTTTTGTAGGTTAAAAAAAAAAGTAGTGTTGAGAAAATAGTTGGGATTGCTTTTTTCTCTTCGAAAGGAACTATGATACTGGAAAACGCTTGGGCTTCTGTGGGTAAAAAGATGTACGGGGGAGTTTTGTGATAATACTTGAAACTTTGGGGAGTTCTTTCTTTTTTGTTTCGGTGTTGCAGCTGTGGGTTTGGAGACGGGGCTGTGGCTTTGATGAGGTGTTGGAAATAAAAGGTCCGTTCTGTAGAGTACGTTCTGGGGGAGTTGTAGTGATTACTGTTCGGCATCTGGGTTTGTGATGCTTTTTTTCCCCAGTACGTATGTGAATGGGTATGCAACGTTAAGTATTGGAGAGAGGGTGTATGGTATTACCCCTATTTCCAGATCCTCTTCGTCGTAGTAACGATGAATAATAGCTGTGTAGATGGTACTTCGAATCCATCCCATGTGAGCAATGTCTTGTGCACTTGACTCTTCTCGCAGTTATTCAAAGTCATTCAGTAAAAAAAAAAAACCATGCGATGAAAACATCACTGAGCAGGCAAGTGAGAGAGCAGGTTTATTTTCCGCGCACGAGGCCCATGCGAATTCATAGATTGGCATAACTAGTAGTAAAATCTACATGGAGCGTGCATTGGCACATTTTGAACATCTGGTCTGGGTGTCGTTACAGGATGTTCCGTTGAAACAAGATAAGCTTGTCGGTAATCATAAGCCATGAGTGAAAAAAATGAGTGCTCGTACATATCCCCCAGTCAGGAAACAGCAGCGAAAAAAGAAGAAGAACCAAGTCCGTCGTAGAAAGCGCATCCATTAGAATAAGTGAGCGGAAAGTCGAGCCTCGGAGTAAAGAGGTTGCGACGGTAATGAACAAGAAAGAGAAAGAAAGGGTCGTTATCATAATATTCACAGGAAAGAAGGAAGAATGTTGGTTGTGTTTTTCCTGTCGCACAAGATGGCGAAGGAAGGAACGGGACAAATGGCTGTCCAGGGGAAGCGGGCAGAGAAGAAGGCGCTTAGGCGCGGATGACGACACCCTGGCGGCGGGTGGTCTTCTCCTCGTACACGTACTCGTCCTCGGAAGAGCATTCGGAAGAGTCGTCTGAGTATCCGCAGCGCGCACCACCGCAATCAAGCTTGACGCGGTCACCAGCGCGGGTGATGCCGTAGCGTTCGCACGTGCAGCATGAGCTTCCAGAGCTGATACTGGACGGGCTAGAGCTGTTTGTGGAGCGGCTGGTGAGTGAGGGAACGTCGGAGTCTTCATCGGAGCTGTACTCAGAGTCGTCGGATGACTCTTCAATCTTCTGGGTGGCAAAGCGGCGGTTGAGCTCCTCCAAGGTGGTCTTGTCGTACTGGGTGTTGATGACTTGGCGGGTCTCGTGTGGTCGTTGAGGCTTGGGTGCAACGATGCGCTCTGGGCTGAGGCCACGGCCCTTGGGGATGGAAGCGGTGGATACACGGCGCGACTTGCGGTCTGCACTGGACGAGGATGACTTTGAGCTTGACTTGGCAGCGGGAATATCGATGATGTTGAGCTTGCGGCCAGTGGTAGGTTCGGTCGTGTGGTCCTTGGCGGGGTCGTGCGAGACATGGTAGCCGTCAATGATGTACTGGGAAGAAGTTAGCCTTGAAGTGAAGAGTGGTCGCTAAGAGGATAGACATACGTAGTACCAGTAGCGCTGTCCCTGCTTCAAAGTCTGTCCTTGGAACTTGAAGCATCCGACCCAGCCACCAGACTTCTTGGGGTCCTTGGAAAGCGGAAGTTGGCCTTGGTAGCCATCCCAGGAGCCGAGAAGATGTACGGTCTTGCAGTTGGAGGAAGTGCGGAGAGTGAAGTTGAGCTGGATAGCGGCCATTGTGATGTTATTTCTTTCTTTCTGTGCAGAAAACTTGTATTATGATGTAATTTTTTTCTTCTTTCGATTCGTCCGATACCAAGCTAATGGGTAGACGTCGAGATTGCTAAGGAGGCTGTGTGTATGTCGAGAGTCTCGCTAAGGGTTGCGAGATGGTGTTGTCGGTGTGATTTGGAAGTTCGTTTCGAGCAAGTAGAGCTGAGTATTACGTTGGAGTGGACCGGCCACAGAGAATTGAATTATTGCAAAAAATGGGGGGATGGGTAAAAAGGGTCGTCGGTAGTGTAGTGATTAGATGGCACCAGGCCTGAGGAGAGTAGGTAGAGGGAAGAAGGGGGAGGGGTAAAAAAAGAAGAGACAAAAAACGAACACAACAACTCTGAACTTGACACACTTGCTGAAGAAAAAAAGACGAGATGGGAGCGGCTCCAGGCCTACTTATGTATAGAGAACGCATCGCACAGCTGCTGGGCGACGATTGGGCGTGGACGAGGGGCTGACGGGCGGACATTGGACTAGGCCGCGTACGGGTCAGGCATCGGTGGATCCGGTAGCGACTGATTGATTGCGCAGTGCAACCACGCCATCTGGGCAGGGTGCAGGCCGGTAGCGGGTGTGGAGAGCAGTCTATCGAATGTACGGCGAGCGCTTGATGGTGTTGCGGGAGTGGTGGATGGCTTTGATGTGTGTAGCCGGGCGTCATTGTTCTGTGCGCTGAGTGGCCAATGTGGGCGGGGAATACACGGGTGGGCCGTCACGCAGCGCACGGACCCGGGATGAAAACATGCAGCCAATCAGCAGCGACTCTGCGTCTACCATGTGATGTCGGGATGTGCAGCCTGCAGATAAGTTTCTCTTCACACTGCATGATGGACGGGGAACTGGGCAGACGACGGATGCAGACAAATTTGCTTCCCAGGATTTTGCCTTGCTCAGCCCGCAGCATCTCCCCTCTGCCGCATGCAGACCTATTTACAGACATTGTCGGCCCATATGTCCCCGCCTTGTCCAATTGCATTGCCTTCACCATCTCCGGCTCATCACCAAATATCCCCAATTGGGAACATGGGCGGCTAATAATCTTTAGTGGCTTATCGTCCCATCCAACCACAACTGCCCATCACCAACTTCGCCCAACTGCATCCAAAGCCGCTTCGGTGGTCACACCTGAGCCCTTAAACCCCGGCATATCGTCATAACATGCAGCCTTTGTGCGCACGCGGCCTCCTAAGCTTCGCTAAACAGACATGTCGGGAGAATAACGTACAGGGGGACATACGCCATGGTGGTGGGGCACCACTTTCAATATCAGGTACGCAAAGGCACAAAGTCTGGGAAAGCCTCGCAATTTGAATGCTGCCAATGAGATGCAACAACAAGGGCGCATGTCGCCTCGCCCTCGTACCACCCAAGCCCCTTTCTCTGCCCTCTATGCCATCAGCTAGCTCCTGCTGCTATCTCTTTCTTGACTCTAATTCCTTGCGCACACATACATGCCCGAGTCTTTTAGGCCCGCAGTCTTCTAGCGATATTAGACTCGACAACGGCCAACATGGCCCAGGCGTACATACGCGCCCGCTCTCGGTGCGTGAACCCCCCCAGATGCACCGTTAGTGACAGTGCACCAATCAAAGGAAACTGTAGTCATGCATACCAGCCATCTCACCGACTAGTCTCCCAACATGCTCAAGACAATGATTGCATCGTGACATGCCACCACTTTGGCCATAATATAGCAGTGCCAGATTCAGGCAGTTGTCTGCTCCACTGCAATTTTTTTTTAAAAAAAAAATAATGACGATGATAGTAGTACACAACACTTTGTCAACTCACTCAGCAACCCAAAAGATTGGCCAGCTCCTCCGCCGTCAGGGTGCTCTTTCTTCTTCGCGGTCGTCCACCAACCCTGGTCTTGGTTGCAGACCGAGGTGCGCGCTTGCCCATCTCCTCATTGATCATTTCGCCGCTGTCGTCCGTCTTCTTGGTGGGGCTGGCAGCCTTCTCGACTTCGGCTGCAGCGGCCGCTTCCGAGGCGTCTCGCAGTTTGTCTTGTACAGTTAGCTTCGGCGACGGCTCCTCAGGGTGCGCCCGTGGACTCGATAGGCGTTTTCTAGTCTGCTCAAAATTGTTAGATGCATGGTCTGATTAAACAAGCGCTGCTCATCCGCCGCATGACAAACAGACAGCGACAAGGAAAGAAGACTATGCTGCCCATATTCACCGTATGGTTCGTCAGCCTGTCATACGTACGCTTCGGGGTGTGCGATCATCTCGACTTTTCCGCCTTGATGCACGTTCTTCAGAAGTAGGTGGCTTGGCTGCTGAGCTGGAGCGGCTGGGCTTCTCCGCACCAACTAGGTCAATCCCAGACTCTTCTGCATTCTCATCTTCCACCTGACATGGCGTGTTGGGGATAGATGGTGAAAAGGCAACTTTTCGCGGCGATCGGCTCAGCGACTTGTTGCCATTGGATTCTCGTAGCGCTGCTGGAGTGGGTTGCAGCTTGATCTTGAACATGTCGGCGTTGTTCTTCTTTGGCGCCATGTCATCTGCCTCCGGGGAAGGGCGATGCTCGACTTCGCTCTGCTCGTCCTCGTGTTCTTGCGGAACATCTGTATCATCTACTTCCTCGTCGAAGACTGAACTAGCGGCTTCATCCTCCTCATCCTCCTCTTCTTCCTCCTCAATGATGGAAATGCCTTGCCTGTCAGACGTGTCAAGCCCTTGTCCAAATCCTAGGCCCATTCTAAGCTCCTCAAGATCGATGGTATCTCCATTGGTCATGCGCTTCCTCCAAGAATCCATGAGCATAAAGGACTCGCGCAATCGGGCCTCCATCTTTTCCCAGCCTGCGCGTAGCCTGTGAATCTCCTCTTCGCGCAACTCTACCTCTTCCACTGACACAAAGTTTGGATTTGTGAGCAGATTCTTCAGATTGTCAAGCACCGTGTCCATGTCATCTGCCAAGGCCTCATAGTTGGTGGGTAGTGTGTGCAACATGCCCTGTCGTGTACCCTCTTCGTCGTCGTCGTTGTCGCCAAATTCAGATCCCTCTTCCGAGTCGGCTCTTGCGTTTTGTTCCGACATGCCTTGCAGCTCCTTCAGCGTCAGGAGTGTGCTTCGTACAAGCCCAATAAGACTATCGTTCTCGTCGCTTAGGCTTTGGCTCAAGTGTGTCAAAAATTCAGTCGTCTCCTGTTTTAGGCTATATTCGGGGTCGTCGACATTGGGCGCATCCTCGCGCACGCTGCTTGTAGCCCCACCTAAGCCCATGGTGCCAGGGTTGATTGTGATGCTCGCACCGACAAGTCCTGTCTTGTTGCCCCTCTGTTGGCTTGTCAAATGGCTCTTTAGCCTCACAATCTCCCTGTCGCGCTTCCGAACGTCGTTTGTGCAAGTTGTGCGTACTTGATCCACGGTCGTTTTGAGTCGCTGCATCTCTGCACGCAACTTTCGTGCAGACGATTCGGCCGTAAGGAGAGCCTTGCGTGCCGACTGTTCCTGGGCCTGGGCAAGGGAGAGTTGCCGCGACAGGTCGTCATTGCGTGTATATTGCTTCTCGAGGGCGGCTGTCTGGCGCGTCGCATCCGCGCGCAGATTTCGCAGCGTGTCAGCGACGGACTCGCGATATTCTTGGTCGCGCTGTGTAATTATTAGAAAGTACAGCCCAGAAGAGCTCAAGGCCAACATACATCGCGCTTTAGGATTAGGTCGTGGATCAAGTTGATAATCTGGGCCATGGTGGCTTCCTTCCCGCCCTCTCCCCTGGACGGGTGGGCAAACTCAATGGGCTTGCCATTGCGCAACAATCCCCGCGACAGCAGCAGGTTGTTAATGTAGGTCGATGCAGTCTTGAGGTTATATGACTCCATGGCGGTGTTCGGTTGTCGACGTCCGACGTAGGCGTGGGCGTGGACGCGACGTTGCGGCGGCTTGCTCTCGTCCAATGTTTGTTTACCCTGCGTGTTGGGTTCTAGAAGGAGCAACCGAGCCACCACACCCGGGCCGTGCTTCACCCGAGACCCTGGTTCCCGTTCTGCTGCACCCGCTTGCAAACAACTCAGATGACACTCGTATTCGATGTCCGTATATAGTGCCCGACAGCCGCTTCTCCACAACCATGCCATTGTCTTCCGACATCAATCGGCACCCACTTCCGAACACGCTGGTGTCACACAAATCACGTCACTAAGCAAACCATCTCTAGCCCACAGTGAGCCCGTCTGGTCTGCTCTAGTCATGTCAAGTCATGTCTTCCACGATCTATGATGAACTTCGGCTCAGCCATAAAATTCGAATCGACCGCTAGATCGCAGGGATTGTAGGGCCTTCGGTCGCTTTTGTCAGTTGACCCAGACTATTCGATGCTTGTGTAGATTGCCACGCACGCCTCAAGTCAGCCCCCGCGTCATCTCTATTGGCATTTTAGACTGCGATAGTTAGGCTAAATTCCAGTTTCAGCTCGCGATAGAGATATCGAGACAACTTGCATCTAGTCTGACCCACTTTCTATCTCGCTTCCGGCAACTCTCTCGGACTTCGTTGCTGATCTTTCCTCAAAGCTGTCCTGTGTTCCTGTGTTTGGTAAAGAGGCTTCTACTTTCCAGTGTACACATGTATGTCGTGTCCAAGCCACAGAATTTTCTGTTCTCTTCAGATCATGTTACATTTCGAGATCGAGACCGATTTTGGCACCCACATTTCGGCCTATTCTCGAGACTTGAATCGACGTTATATGATGTCCTTGTATATATTTGACACTTTTCTCGGTCTTTGCACAGAGACAGCAAGGCTTGTTTCTCATTTTGGCACTCCTCCATCTTAATCCTTCCGATTTTGTCCACCATGGCCGGCCTCGCATCCCTAGTCAGTGCATTGCTACTAGGTGCCCAGACCGCTTACGGTCTCCCCTCAGACGCCACTACTCAGGCCTGCAATGAGATAGCCAACTCTCTGCCCGGCAAAGTCCTGAGTCCAGGACTTCTCTCAGTGGAATATCAGCATGAGACACAACAGTACTGGGCTACTAATCTTCGTGAAATCAAACCAGCATGTATTGTACAGCCCAACTCTGCTCAGGATATTTCTATTGTTATCAAAATCCTGAACAAGTACCCGACAGTCCGCTTTGCTACTCGCAGTGGTGGTCATGACCCTAACAAAGATCATTCTACTGTTGAAGATGGTGTCCTCATCACCATGACCGACTTGGTTGGAGCAAGCTATGACGCACAGGAGGATGTAGCCTATGTCCGGCCCGGAGGAGAGTGGAATGACGTGATAGGTGATCTCGAGCAAAGCGGGGTAGCCATTGCTGGTGGAAGACTTGGTATAGTCATATATGCGCCTTTGTAGGATTTTTGCTTACTCAATCCAGGTCTCGTTGGTGTTGGTGGCCTACTGTTAGGGGGAGGTCTCTCCTTTCTCAGTGCTCAAGAAGGCCTTGCCGCCGATGTCAGTCGCCGACCGATGCTAGGCGGACATCATGCTGACAAGTGCTAGAACATTATCGAATGGGAGACAGTCATGGCCAATGGCTCCATTGTAAACGTAAATGCCGCAAGACATCCAGACCTCGCACAGGCCATGCGTGGTAGCAGCAACAATTTTGGCATTGTCACACAATTCAAAGCTAAAGTTCATCACATGGACGACGTCTGGGGCGGGTCCTGTTCATACGATGAGACAAAGGCAGACGAGCTCTACGCTGCGCTACATGAATTCGCTGGTCATGGTGCCGAAGATCCCAAGGCTGCCATTATATTCACTGATCTGGTACTTGGCGTTGGAACGAGGTCAAAACTCATATACTACTTTTACGACAACCCTGCACCGCCCACGTCCGGTCCTTTCGCCCAGTTCTTCAACATCCTCAATCTGACTTGCGTACCGAAGAGGCAGAAGTATTCTCAGCTGGTAATTCTCGACATCTGTGCCACTGTTAAAGTCACGTGCTAACTCCATGTAGCTAAAAGCCAATGGTGAACCGATTCGCCTCTTGAATGCTCGTTCTTTCTTCCGCGTGAGTGTTCAAGCTTTATCCTTTTTCCAGCAATAATCTAATCATACAACAGACTGAAACCATCCCATACATCGCCTCTCGCCCACAAATGTACAAGGAGATTAGTGACAAGCTCGCCAAGACCACTGCCCTCTTTTTGAATACTCCTCCTGTCGCCCGTGGCATTCAGTTCAGCGTTGACTTCCAGCCTCTTCCCTCTGCAATTGGCAAGAAATCAGCGGCCAAAGGCGGCAATGCCATGGGTCTCGGTGCTTCTGATCCTGACCGCATAGTTCTTATCTTCCAAGGAGCTTGGAACTTACCATCAGACGACGAAGCTGCTTTCAAGATTGCCAGAGAAGTTACGAGTTGGCTAGACGAGGTTGTACCGCAGTGGATGGCAGAAGCAGGCATGCCCCTGGATACGTACCTACCGCTATTCTTGAATGATGCTATGTATGACCAGCCTGTTCTACAAAGCTATCGGGATTATGAGAAGTTCAAGGCATTGCAGAAGAGCGTCGATCCTGACGGCTTGTTCAGCACGAGGACTGGCGGATTCAAGTTCTGAGTTGTTGTTTACTCGGAATACTCTTATTGTATATAATAACGAACGTAGAAACACTCAGGTGTTAATGTGATAACTTCACATCCTCAATGTATTATTCTCTTTTCGTAGTGTGGCTCGACCTGTCTAGGAAGGTGCTCTTGACATAGCGGGGGCCACTATGCTGTAAGCGGGGTAGTGTCCTTTTCTGACTCCTCATCGCAATTGCCTGCTTGTTCTAAAGCGACAGCAACCAGAAAGCAAAAATCCCTGCCCCCAATTTTCAAAGACATCATACCAATTACCATGGCTCAAGCTTCTGAAATACACAGCTACCAGCACGAAGATGCTTGGAACGTTGATTGGCTGCGTGTCGACGACGTCCACGAGCTCTACTATCAACAGTACGGCAAAAAGAGTGGAAAACCTGGTATGTATTGTAATGAATCTCTGTAATATTTTCGTATTCCAACCCCATCCAGTAATCTACCTCCACGGCGGCCCCGGCGGAAACTGCTCCAAAGGCAACACAGTCTTCTTCAACCCATCAGAATACCACGTGATACTCCTCGACCAACGCGGCTGCGGCCAATCGCGCCCCAACGCCAGCACAACCGCAAACACGACCTGGGACCTCGTCTCGGACATCGAAGCCCTCCGCAAACACCTCTCCATCCCCAAATGGCACATGGTCTTCGGCGGCTCCTGGGGCTCCACCCTCGCCCTCGCCTACGCCCAGACACACCCCGAAAGCGTCGGCAGCCTCGTCCTGCGCGGTATGTTCACCGTCCGCGATCTCGAGCTCAGATGGACGAACTACCCAGGAGGCGCCAGCATGCTTTTCCCGGACCGCTGGGACGACTTTATCAATTTCCTCCCTGAAGACGAGCGCGCCGACCATATTGCTAACTACCACAAGCGCCTCATGTCCGACGACACAGCCATCTCGCATCCCGCAGCCGCGGCCTGGAATACCTGGGAGATATCCATCAGCACCCTGTATCCGGATCCCAATGCGATGAAGAAGCTCAAGGAGCCAGAGTATTTGCTTGCACATGCACGCATTGAGATTCACTATTTTACGAACAAGGCGTGGTTGGAGGATGGGCAGTTGTTGAGGAAAGAGAATGTGGATAAAGTTAGACATATCCCGACGACGATTGTGCAGGGCAGGTACGATGTGGTTTGTCCCCCGATTACGGCGTGGGAGTTGCACAAGCAGTGGCCGGAGAGTAGACTGTTTTTTATTGATGATGCGGGGCATAGTGTTATGGAGCCGGGGACGAGGAGGAAGTTGACCGAGGTTTGTGACGAGTACGCCAATCTGGTGGTTTAGATAGATATTGCAGTCTGTTAGAAATGAGAGACTTGCCAGTGTTTTCATGTTCAAGGCTTGGATTGACGGGTAATTAGTGTTTGCATTCGTGGCAGGGTCTCGATTAGATCTGCCAAGAGCAGGAGCTCAGTATGACTACGAAGATGTCTGAATATTGACGTGTGTTCATTGGAACGAGGCCCCAAAAGTAAAGGCTTTGAGGCCATAATTAGGGTCAATTCATCACTTGAAGCAATGCAAAAAAAAAAAACAGCCAGTTCACGTAACCATATATATATATTCCAAAAAGAATTATTGAAAGAAAGAGCGACCATGTATAAACAATCGATTACAGCAGAAGAAAAGAATCGCACCAGAGACGGTTCCTGCTGAAGGGAACCGCTCCTTCTTTTTCCCATCACAACATGGTGGTGACTAAACCACTATCCATTATTCATATTTCTGCCAGAACCAATATCTTCAATGATAGTCGCCAGACAAGTTCCCTTTAGGCGGGCGCTTTCGATTGAAAGGGGGGAGATGCCAGGCTACTTAATTGACGCTAAGACCCTGGTAGGAGTTGATGCAGATGTCGAGGGTGCCAATAAGACTGTTGGTCTGATCCTGGAGGTCAGCAGCATGGGACTCGGCGACGTCGATGATGCCGAAAGCGATGGTCTGAAAGGTAGAGTTAGTAACAGTGTTTTGAGCTTCTAAGCGAGGACGGAGAAGCGGTATTGACTTACGTCGACAACGTTCTCGAGCTGTCTGAGGACAGCTGCGACAGGCTCGCCAATGACGGGGACAGTTTCAAAGAGTCCAGCCTTGCCGATGAGGATGTTCAAGAGAACCTGGTGGACGCGGACAAACTATTTTTTTTGTTAGTTTCTGTTCATTGCGAGGAGGCATTGTACTCACTTCGCGGAATGCGTCGAAGATGGCGTCAGATTCGGCACCAGCCTTGATAGGCTGAGTGCCCTGCATCTGAGTGATGGCAGCAGTGGTAGTGGAGATGATGTCGGTGAAACCAGCAATGATCTGGGGGAATGGTCCCTGGCCAATGACGATGAGAGGTCCGTTAATGATAGTGATGGACTGAGCAGGTGCTTGGAGAGCCTGGCTCTTCGAGGTGAGCATCCTGATGTTGTCGACCATCTGGGCAGGAGTGATAGCCGCAGAAATGGGAGCAGCGAGAGCCAGAGCGGCAGTGAAGATGTTGCGCATGGAGACCATTTTTGCGGTTGTAAAAGAAGCTTTTGTTATTGAGCTTGGGGTGAGTGGTGAGAAGGTAGTAGTGAGGATTGTAGATGGAGCTGGATGATGAGTTGATTCTGTCGAGGACTGGAGGGCTTTTATACATCTGGTGCTGTCCAAGTGTCAATGTAGACACTCGCTGTAGTTTACCACAATGTCTAAAGGCAAACGCCACTAGGAATGTCGATCTCCCAGATGCATCTGTTGAGATGTCGATCGTAGCAACTCATCGGTAGTCGGCGAGGCGGTGTTACTGGTGATAGGTGCCAAATCACCATGGGCATAGCGCCGTCAGCCCCGTAGCTGGGTTGATGTTCACGTTTGTTCTTTGTAGCTTACTCCACGGGGGCCACGCTTGATTGGACCAAAAGGAGATTTCTATGCCCTAATCTTTGTAGAAACAGCAAAAGCATTTGAACCAGAACTTGTGGTTCTGTGATCATGAAGTTCCTCAGAGCCTACACTGACTTTCATCATTTTTACCTCGGACTCTTTAGAGAGTATCCTCCCCAGCGAAAACAGGTTCCATAGACATTATGATCATCGCAGGGGGCTGAAATTATTAGCACTAACACATGTTAGCTTGCAGAGTCTTTGGTAACTCAGCTGCACAACTCATCGCCAAGTACTCTTTGTGGGTAGAAACTAGAGCATTGACATAAAGATTTTCGGACCCTTGCTCTCCCGCCCCTCGCGATTGCACCGTGCACCACTCATAGCCTAGCATTGTGCATGTCCTCCTCGATTAGCGTCCGAATTAGCGATATAACATGAAGATCTTGCCGGTTTTCCGCCATGCCTAATTGACACAGTACTAAATTCGGGCAGAGCATTCCCACTCATGTGCATGTGTGCATCATAGCCTGTAGACGGCGTGCTCCCCTCCATTTGCCTGGACGGAATCGGGAATGTCACAGGGCACGTGCTAGGGCACAGGGCTTGTATGTGGCTGCAGGCACGGGACGGGACGAGCCCTCCCATCCTTTTGCTGCCGAACGCCGTAACGGAAGCTCTCGGATGAGATGTTGCTACGTATCGCAAAGACAGGCAGGTGCTGCTTTGATCAGTGTCTTATGATGCTGAAGACACTGCAGTATTGTTCTGGGTCTTGCGCTGCAATGTAAACATGATTCAGGGTGTCTTGTGAGGCGGATGGGGCATTGTCCTATGTGGAACGCCAAGATGAATCGTCAGGAGTTGAGCACTTGCTTTTGAAGAAACCCAGGTGGATCGAACTGCACTAAGATCGCGGCTTGGCGATGTAGCCGGGCGAATCAGACGACATCTGCCGATGCGGCGAAATCGCACGCATATGTCATCGTGGCAGCGAGTCAACTTCCTGTACGATCGTCGTCTGCCTTGACACGTTTTCACATGTGCTGAACGAATAGGTACAAGCTGAAGAATATAGTACAGATTTGACTGCAGATGGTTTCCAGTCCGTCAACCCCAGATGTGTCTCTCAGCATCTCTTCTTCACCACCAGTCGCGAGACAGCTACCTGCGGCCCCCTTTTTCCCACAGTAGTGAGACTTTTTCGGGAACGCATGCCCGCTGGTACACACGGAACGAGCTACTGGCCCGCCAGGGTCTGCTCGGCAGGGTCAGTTCGCGGCTGGCTCCCGCTCGCTACGGCAATCAAACGTGCCGCTTGCTATGTTCTCACAAAAAGAAACCGAGACAACAAAAGTAACGCAGCTTTGCCCTGATAGGATGATGCGAAAGCTACTCAGCTTTGAACTAACAATAGTCGGCAAAGGATGCCGATAGCCAGTGATGCACGCATGCCGTGAAAACAAAACACAATGAGCGATTGGAAGCATGCCGAGGGGCCCGAATCACAAGTGGCTGAACAGCTAAGACGGAAACTGACCGAGCTAAGTCTTTGTCGTCGAATCGGGTTTTTCTTCTTATAACATCCCGCAGAACTATTACCTAAAGAAGTGCGGTGGTGGCGACGGAACAACGGTACCCTGCTGAACTTTCAACATTTGTTGCACGTCAATCATAGAGTAGTACTACCTACGTAGCTTTCCAGAGTTAGGTGTAGACGCAGAGTTGACGATGCACATGCACATGCAGCCAGAGGCATCAACTAAAGACACGGAAGTCCGTTCCCGGAGCACACTGTCTTGCATATGAATATTCTCTAACCTGCTTTGGGAGGTGTCACATGTCGTGGCTAGCTCGAACCCCGGGTCTGGGATCCAGTACTTTTTCCAGGAGCAAGATGCCAGCCGTGTTACTAAGAGCAACTACAACTGTTTGGACTTCCAGTGTTTTTTTTTTAATTTCCGGACAAGGCCTATGGATCCAGAAGAGCCTAATTGTTGTGTTTGCTTGTTGCATCTAGTCAGCGAAACACCATGGCGTCGACTGCTCATTAGCCAAGAAAACTATACGCGCCAGTGTGGGACATGCCGATCACACTGCGGTCTAATATTGAAAGCAACTGTATAGGGATAGTACATATTTGATTGCTGTGGCGTTAGAAACAATGATGTCATAATAGACTAGAGTTACTCTGACAAACTCTATGCGAGTGAAGTATTGGAGCCTCACCGATGGACGTGTCAGAGTAGCAGCACGATTAGTGTTCGTTTAGGCGCTGACTCAATCCTAGAATCGGTATCAACGCTAGCCACGAAGCATGTTGGAAATTCTTCCAACGTGCCTGGGTCGTCTTCCGGATCTCACTGATGCGCAGCTTTTGGGCGCAGCAACTGTAGCACTGGAACGACTGCAGATGAAATTTTCTATTTCTTGCATCTCGGCAGCCTTTTAATGATATAGCACTGAATCACGTGTTTGGGGTGTTCAACCGAACGTCAGATGCAGTCGAGACTCTTGTACAGCCCGTCATCGCCAAGTTCAACCCTGGAAACAACATCAGCAACTTCGTTGCTATCTGCTCTACCACTTTTGCCTTTGATAGTTACATCTCTTTCTGTTTTAGTATCCAAAGCGACAACGTTGCAGGTAGCGAAGGTATCATCCTCCCACCTACTTAGTCGCAATGAACTCGTCTCAACACTCCATTCAGGCATCATTCACCACATTTGCTTTGCAAGGTAGGCCTGGGGTACGCAATACGCCTGGAAAGCGATATGTGCTTTGCATCACAGCTGGCGTTCCACGTACCTGCATTTTGTCTCCGAAGGTGTATCGGTCGACTCCTCTACTACTGGACTAGTAAAACAGAGTATGTTCCCCATGACGGCTCATTTCTGTTGGCATGTTTGAGGAGGGATGGTTCGAGTTATAATATAAGCATTGGAGGGCTGTCCCTGGTTGCCACACCAGCCGCTGAGGCTAGGAACTGGTAGTGTAGCTGAGAATATTCTCCCACATATCTTACAGTAGATCCTACTGTGTGAAAGTTAGAGCCCCTATCCTGATACCAATTGGCAAAACATCTTGCTCAGGTGCTTCTCTAGACATGGTCTCTGTTGCAATGTTGTGCATTTAGGTATGCCTGATGGCTTTGATATTTTTATAGGCTTTCGCGAGCGCTCAGCTAAAGGATGGGTGCGAAAGTTGTTCTAATATAACACAGCTGACTCTTCTGAGACCTAGCAAAGTCTCAAGATCGATTGCTATTTCTTCACCTCAGCCTTCCGATGGTTGGAAAGGCCCACGGAATTGTAGCAGTTTTGACCAAAAGGTCTGTACTTCGACAGTGGCAAGACTGCACATTTCCTTGTCGATATTTCAGAGACTCCGGTCGGGATCTGCTGGTGTCGTCTCGGAGATAGAAGCCTATAAACATCACGTATGAACGAAAAGGTGGAAATCCAAACCAGCACGAATGTGTCTGCCTTGGATAATCTGGCTACGGTAGAGAGATCTAGGTAGCCTAAGCAGCGTTTGAGAATGCTTAGTGATCCATGAGAGTTTAAAGCGGCGACATCGCTAGTGGGGCAGGCATGCTTAGCACATGTTAGTCTCCCGCTTTTCTCGTATCCAAATACGCGCACGCCATCTCCTCGTATTCAAATACGCGCGCCCTCTCACAAACAACATCCTTTCTCCTTGCTTACCCGCCAGATGTCATCCACGCAATCCAACACAGCATCGCTTTCTGCGAATGAAGGCGATCATATCGTTAAAAGGACAACAAGACGATCACACCGAAAATCGCGCGCTGGTTGTAAAAATTGCAAGGCGCGCCGCATCAAGGTACGGCAAGTATGAGGCCTTGCAAACCCTGAACAAAGTCAATAGGCTCTGCAGAAATGGAGCTTAGTAAGATGAGAAGCCGCAGATGATCTGTAGGAAGCACCTGGGGCCCGGCTTCTAATGTATTGGCTATCGTAAGAAGAAGTTATTAACACAAACGTTTGTAGTGCGACGAGAAAAAGCCAGGTTGTAGTAACTGTGAGTATCGAAAAGTACGTTGTGACTTCATCCAACCAGCGGCTTCTCCACCCGGGCATCGTGAAGCAAGCGGCCTCAGTTCCATTCCTAGAGAGCTGTCTATTTCCGAGATCGAGCTCGCGTACCACTATACAACATCAACCTGCTTCACCCTCTCAGCATGGTCTACTGGAGGTGTCTTCCGGCAAAACCAAATGGCTGAAATCGGATTCAAGAATCCATACGTTCTGCACTTGATGCTTGCATTCGCAGCAGTGCATCTGGCACACTACCGTCCGCATCGCAAGGAGGAATACGCCGCGATGGCAGACCATCACTACGAGCGCGCTCTGGTTTTGGTTACACCACAGATTGCAAACCTAAATCCCGAGAACTCTGATGCAATATTGCTTGCCGAACAATTGATATGTTTTATCAGCTGGGGTCGAGGTCCGCAACCTGGGGAATACCTCGCCTTCGGACGAGACAAGAAATCAGATTGGTTGGTCATGTTCCGCGGCATTCGAGCAACCTTCTCAAACGTTCAATTTCTGCAATCTGACAGTATACATGCATCTACAGCAAATGGAATATTACCCTCGTTGCCCGCCCTAGACGTACCCGAGGAATACGAGAAGCAGCTCGATAGCGTGATGGAGCTTGTGAGCGTTATGTCAAAAGACACACCTGGTTACGAGGACGATATCAAGGCCGTCCGTATCCTTCGAGAGATGTACGACAACCGGTATCGAAATGGTGAGAGTGAGTACCATGTATCTTTTGGGTGGCTCTACCGTGTGACGGACGACTTTCTTGAGCGGCTGCAGGAGCGCGGCCCCATCCCCATGATCATCTATGCACACTTCGTGGTCCTAGTCCGTATTTTAGAACAGTTTTGGTACATGCAAGGATGGACACATCACATCATGAGCGGGATCTGGGACTTGCTGCCTAGAGAGCACAGAGCTTGGTTGGAGTGGCCCATCAAGAGAATAGGTTGGGTCAAACCATGACATGGCCAACGCTCGGTACAGTCGCGATAACCATGACTAGCTCCCACCTCTCCTTCATTGCGTGCCCGGGTAATCCCCATAACTTTTTTTCCCCTCTATCCTCGCCTTGCTACACCACCAATCCCCTTTGACGCTCACACTCACCAATCGCCGCGCTCGCTCGCTCTAGTGTGGTTTGTGGGCACGCGATCCGCAACAGGTGCCTCACAACGAGCCTGTTTCACGCTCACTTTCACCACAATGGCGGCAAACGCAGCCCACGCCAAGCCGAGAAAAAAATCTCTTTATTCTGTATTCAAAAGCTTCGCAATTGTCTACAATCCACAATCCACTTCAACCAACTGCAATCAGCCTTCTACTGTAGTTCTCTTGCTTACCCCCTTCCTCTACTCCGCCACCCTACGCCATGGCACACGCAAGCTCCGCCGCTAACCCACGCTTGGGTCAGCGTCGCACCTCCTCTACTTCATTTCAATACGATACAAGGAATGTCAACGGCTGGGATGATATCTTCAGCGGCTTCGACATCACCGACCCAGCTAAGCAGAAAGTCGTCAAGGATCAAGCGGAGAAGGTCCTGCTAAAGGTAAACCCTAAGCTTATTAAGTACCAAGGCAATTATGGCCAGATAAAGCTACAAGAGCATGTCAAGAAGGCGTACGATCAATTTCCAGAGTTCTGTTATGCGCCAACTAAGTGGAGAACCTTGGCTATAACAAAGTTGCTCGGCATAGCTAGGTCGAACTTCCTACGAACAAAACGTGGCCAAGCATACATAAAGAATGAGCGGCTAGATAGGAGTGGCTTAGGTGATGACGGCCACAGGAAACGGAAACAACATGTTTCTCCGGATTCGGACAACGAAGGACCACACACGATAAAGCGTAGACGAGCCGAGCATAGCGACGACCAGGACAACGAAGAGGACGAGGATGCGGGCGACTCTGACGACAGCGATGCTCTTACGGCCGGCATCAGTGTACTGGGCATACAGGACAAGGAGCGTCGGCGGGCAAAGAGTGCTACCAACGCTGCGGATAGCAAAATGCTGCACCTTATTCATTGCTCTTCCGGCAAGGTTATGGGCATAGTTGAACTAGCATCCATCTCCTATGGGCCTATCGCGCGCTGGGAGACGCTCGTAGACGAAGTAAAGGCTTACGAGGATCTCCTCGGGTCACCCTTTACGGGCTCCCTCTACGTCTCCCCACGCGACCACCAGAACATGCCAGTGAGGATCCAGGGCAGCTTGCTCGCGGCACTGAAGGAGGTCGAGGATGGGATAGACGTGCGCATATCCACTGCACCCCGAGTGAGGACACGGAAATGATGGACGCGAACGCGAACCCCCGACCCTCCCCTTTCTTCTTCGCAGCAGCCAGCACCACCAACCAACAACGCAGATGACCTAAGTACCGACAATGACATTCCCCCAAATAACACCTCCTATGATCCTTCTGGTGCACCCGAAACTCGCAATGTCGATGATAATGTGGATTTTGGAAATCCACGTCGAGCGCATTAGACAGTAGGCTTCTGCATCTATATTCCGCGCCAAGCGGCCAAGCGTCATGTACACTGTTGCGGCGAGGAGAGGTGCGGAGCCCAGGATGAGCATCATTTGGATTAGATAGGGTGTTCCGTTGCGGATTTTGTCGTGTGCCCAGGCGCGTCCGTAGTAGCCTGCTGCTTCGCCTGAGAGCGTCTTAGGAGTCTGAACGAATGCGGGGAAGGGGAAGAGGAGTTTCTAATACTTTTTTTGCTTACCTATACATCCGAGTATGAAGGGGATGAAATACCAGCTCCGATATTTGAACATAAGAATGATATGTGCTACAGCCATGATCCCGAACATGAACATGTATGCGTATCCAGCGCCAATTGAAGGGTTATGTGGAAACAAATCGAAACCAGCTTCTCCACGAGGAACGACGTATACTAAACACATGTTGTTGCTATTTTTCTTTTTCGCTGAGAATCTCAGCAAAGATACAGAGTAGTAACGAGGAAAAAAACGGAAACTGTACAGAGATCGTTTACATGAAAACATAGCAACACGAACAGAAATGCAACCTTTTTTGTTTCTGCACTGAGACATTGGTTTACAATTTATAGTGGAATTAGCTATAGTGTCAAAGGTCTCGTATATTGGAACGTATTCGTATTCTAAGAGCGTTACTAACCCCCCTTGCAAGTTGGTACCGGGGGACGATCACACAACGCACCGACCAACTAGCACTAACTACGTAGCAGTCAGTTATCGAGGCTTGAGTTTTTCGATCGATTTTGCAAAGTACTGTTCCAAGACCCGGGGGGGTTCAAAAATGGCGTAGAACGGGCTAATACCTCGTCTGCTCTACTAGTGTGCCAGTGCGTAGTGGTATGAGCAACTTTAGGTAAAACTATTGTGCGAATTCTGGTGTAAGAGTAGGACTGTCTGTGGAGTAAATAAAAGCATCGCAGTTAATGGGTTTTTTCAATACCGCTAGTACTGCCCTTTTCTGAATTTGCTTGGCTTTCTATTCGGGTACTATTAACGTCGTATGATCGAAGGTAAAAGGTGGGATCGTTTCCTCCGTAGTCAGACTCGTGAATCGGTACCATCTACACCCGTTCATTGTCTATGTATATCAAACTTAAAAGATTTTTTTTTTAAAAAAAAAGAAAGGACAATGTGTCGGCATCGGCATCGGCATTGACTACGTTCCTTTCTTTCATTTTTATCCTTTTTTGTCGTATCAAAAGCAAAAAAGAGGAGAAGAAGGCGTAAGTGTATGTGTGCGAAGGGGTTGAACCACTTTTTTTTACTTATTTCTACAAATATGTATACATCCAAGAACTCGGTGATGCCGGACCCTGACCTCGTTGAAGAGGCAATGTTCTCTCCACCCCAAAATAAGAACAGAGAAGGGGATGTTCTAGACCAAAATTGATCGGCATGCTATCAGGGTCATCATGGTCATCATCTTCATCATTAATCGTCGCTTCAAACAAACACCTCTCTCGTTCATGCTGCCCGTCCCCGATACTGCACCTGGGGATGTCTCTTGCTCTTTCATCCTCCACCCATGCATGCCATACATAAATCTTCTCTCCCAAAAATGAAACGTTGGTAAACGCCTTTTCCCACTTCGCCGCCCATGGGTCTTAGGTAGATTCTCCGGGTCCAAGTATTTATTTGGTGATGTCGTCACCCCAAACGCTCTTCGCAATCTCAACATTAAGTCTAACCTTGGCCCATTGCTCCTCCTCCGTCAACTCGTTGCCCTCAGCAGTCGAACTAAATCCACACTGGTGGCTTACACACAGCTGGTCAAGACCCTTTGGCGTAATCTTGGCTGCCTCGTGTAACCTCTTGATGATCTCGTCCTTGTCGTCTAGTGTGTTCTTCTTGCTCGACATGACGCCGAGGACAACGACCTTGTGCTCAGGGAGGTGGCGCAGGGGGCTAAAGTCGCCTGAGCGCGCGTCGTCGTACTCGAGGAAGTAGGCGTCAACGTTGAGTTCTTTGAAGAGGACTTCGGCAACGGGCTCGTAGCCGCCTGAGGCGAACCACTTGGAGCGGTAGTTACCACGGCAGAGATGGATGCCAATCTTCATGTCGGCGGGCCTCTTCTCAATGGCCTTGTTGATGAGCTCGGCGTACTTGCGTGGCAGGGTGCTGAGGTCCTCGTTGCGCTCGGTTTCGGCAGCCTTGCGCATGTCTGGGTCGCACAGGTAGGCAAGGTTTGTGTCGTCGAGCTGGACAAAGCGGCAGCCGGCCTTGTAGAGGGAGTCGAGCTCCTCCTGGTAGACGCGTGCGAGGTCGTCAAAGAAGACGTCGAGGTCGGGGTAGGCGGAGATGTCGATGGAGGCACGGCCACCACGGAAGTGCACCATTGTGGGCGAAGGAATGCAGACCTTTGTTGTGGCCTTGCTGCCATTGTTCTTGATGGCCTGCTCAAGGAACTGAAAGTCCTCGACCTGGATAGGTTTGGGGTGGCCGAGCTTGCCAGTCACGACGAGGGTTGGCGGGGAGAAACCGTCCTTGTGCCTGATGTTTCCAACCTGACCCTTCTCCTCGATACCAGCGACGTTCTTGAGGAAGTCGAGGTGGAAGTAAGCGCGGCGGAACTCGCCGTCGGTTACGGAAAGCAGGCCGTTGTCTATTTGCTGCTTTGCAACCTGGGCAATGTGCTCGTCTTCAACCTTGCGAAGGTCCTCAGCCGTGATTTCGCCTTTGGCGACCTTTGCGCGAGCCTCGAGGACGGCCTTGGGGCGGAGGAAGGAGCCGACGTGGTCGGCGCGGTATACACCAGTGGGAAGAGGCATGGTGGTTGATGTTTTGGTGAAGAGCGTGGTGCAGTGGAAGAAAAAGGCGGGATTTCTGGCAATTTAAGTCAGACGGATTGCAAGTAAGGACAGAAAATTTGTACAGTGTCTCTTCCGCCTTACTGCAGCATGTACCGATTGCGAACACGCAACCATGAAGCTACCCCACCACGGCAGTTGTTAGAGCCAGGCTATGACATGGATTCCTGGCGCCCAGCAACAATGACACTCCGAGTTGTAGCCGCCCGGGCCCAGAGACGGCTTGCCAGGCGTGCGAGAGTGGCGCAAAAGCCGCCCGCATAGATGCATGCAAGACGACTTCTCTCTTCAATGGCGAATGCAGTGAGGTGGGATCGCCAGTTCATGCGGCTCATCAGTGGGAGGCGGCTAACATGACGTTTGGTGGGGTACATACAGACCCTGCCTTGCTAGCCCCCCGGCGCTCATCGGCCTGACTAGTCTTTTGCGGCTGACACATGGGTCACACATGCTTCCGGGGTAAGAATACATCCATATGCATGTGGCAAGCATACTATTACAATTGGATATATTGATACATGGTCGAAAAGGCATCATTGCTACAGCAGTCATGTCCCCCTCTATGCAGCCTTCACCAGCTTTGCTTCCAAGAGTTCGCCAAATTGCCCCTCCCACAAGCCGTCGTCTTCATCGTCACTCTCCATCAGCAACGCATCAGCCGCGTTGTAGACTCGATTGCCTTTCCCGTCAAACCTCTTCTCCTTCTTGACCAGGTCGCGCGCTGCAATCCTCAATTGGATCGTCCCTGCACCAGGCCCGGAGTCCCCTTCGTGCTCCACAGTCGCCGTCTTGAACCCACTAATTTCAGGCGTAACAGTGATAGGGTTGACAGTAAAGAACTTGCACGCAATCACCGCACCCTTCTTCATGTCCGCCGCCGTGAGATCAGGCAAAGTGCTCATGTCCTCGGGCAGTGGCGCCAAATCGGTTTGCACGGCTGTCGCAAGGTCCTGTTGAAGCTGATCCTCAATGGCTGCTTCTATAATCTCCGACTCGTTGTTGGCCGCGGGAGCATCATCATAGTCCAGAATAATATTCTCTTCCTCATCTTCCTCCTGCACTGCATATGTCTGTTGCGGTGTAGGACTCTGCTTCTTCTTCTGTTTCTTCTTAGCCGCCTTCTCCCGCATCGCCTTACTAGCAGGATCCCAGTGCTGCTCGAATGGAAACGGCGGAGCACTAAGCTCAAACTCTTCATCCCAACACTCAAAAGCAGACACGTTGATACGCGACTTCCAGAAATCAGGGTCTGATGCCCCTTCAGGCTCCGCGACTTCATTCACGGCTGCTTTATTTCTTTCCTTTCTAACCATTGGTGCTGCTTGTCGAGCAAGTATCCGGCCAATTGCAGCAGTATCTGGTCGAAGCCTTCTCGGAGTAACTGCTTTCTCAGCGGGTGCTTCGTCTGCTGGTATCGTTTGCGTTTGCACCGAGTCGACTGATGGCACAGGACCAGACAAAGTGTCTCCAAACTTTGCCATCAGCTCTTGTTTTCTCTGTTCAAGTTGTAAAGCATCTTCAGCTTCCAAACCCTCGTCATCTAAGCGTTTCCTCTTGCCCTGGGATCTGGAAAAGGGCTGTGTGCTAGTAGAGACCTCTTCTGCTTCGGGCTGGCCAAAGTTCCCTTCCTCATAATTCTTCAGGTCGCTCAGGCCCGCACCCTCGGGGAGCACACCAGATGCTATCAGACGACGAAGACGATTTACTCTAGTGCGTCGGGAGTTTCGGACCTTTGTGGCTTTGAGTCCCTGGCCTGGAGGAACGTGCTTTGTGGCTGTAGTCCTGCGGCCATCCTTTGACGATAAGACGTCAGGTGGAGCGCTTGCATCGCTGTCATCGGAGTCAGAGTCAGAGTCGGAGTCGGAGTTACTCGTTGTATCTGAGTCTGAGTCTGACCCTGAATCTGACCCTGAATCTGACGTGTCTGAGGCGCTCGACGAACTGCCGGGCTTGGCTGCCGAGCCCAAATCTGAATCTGAGTCGTCTTCTGAATCTTCGGCAGAAGAGGCGAATTCGTCGCCATCTCCTGGCACAAAGTCATCATCTTCCTCACTATCATCTGATTCATCAATCTCTGGCACCTGGAAGTGTACTGTCTTGGACTTTCTCCCAAACTTGTTCACACCACTCCTAGAGACTGTATGACCGTTCAAAAGTGGGAGAGGCACCTCTTCTTCTTCTTCGGGTTCTTCGCCATGTTCCATAAGCAAAGCTGTGGCTTCTGGCTCTGGCTCTGGCTCTGGCTCTGGCTCTGCTTCTCCGTCGTCGAGTCGGCGTCGCTTGCGTGGGGGTATGCGAACGGGAGGTCGGTTTGGTTGTCGCAAGTAGGGTCGACCGAAAGGAATGCCATCGACAAGGTGTTGACCTCCATCGGATATCTGGTCACGGCCAGTGAGAGTACGCGCGCGTATTTCGGCTGTCATGAGCGGTCGGATGCTATAGTTGAGTCGTCAGCATACAACATCACAGTTACTATGATGCTACATACGAAACATGGTCATCTTCCTTGAGCGCATTGATGACAGGCATAAAGTGAAGGCACTCGAAGCCGCCCACTTCGACGACATAGTGCTCCAGGCCCCAATGCTCAGCCTCTAGCGGGATAATGTGGTTGACATCTTCGAGCAAACGCGTAATGGTGTATGCCTGTGTACTGTTGGTTTCGGGAACGCTCCAGAGGATGTTGGCAGCTGGCAGACCGTTCCTCTGCACCGTCAATCGAAGCCTCATCTCGGCACGTCAAGTTTCATGTGGTTTGCGACAAGCCCAAGTCATCTGCATCGCGAACTTTTGGACATGGCGCCGCGACCAATGACGATCTATGCGCGTCCCACTAGCACGCTTTGGTGTTAGCGCGTTTCTGCCCATCGATCTTTCACAGTGGCATTCCTCCCGCATGACGCAATTGTATGCATCTTACCTGATCTAAGACGCTCATACACTTATTCTCTCGTTCTGTAACACTCTCAATTCAAGTCAGATATAGTTTGTACTACAACAAGAACTCACAATGCCAGTCGGAAAACCAATCAACACCCTCAAAGGCTCCTGGAAGCGTCTCTTGAACGATGAGCGATTGCGCCGCTCTTCTCAAGTACTCTCAGTTGTCGATTCAAATGTCTGCATCTTTGGTGGCGAGGTGAAGCCTCGGGAGCCTATAGATGACAAGGTCGATGTGTTTCCCCTCAAGTCCAGTATGCCCCTCATCTGAACAAGCCATCAAGGTACATGGCTAAAACGGGAACAGATGCTACAAACCTGGAAACAAAGTCGGCTTCCTCAGCACCCAGCCCAAGAGTCGGGAGTGCATCAGCCGTTCTCAATGGCAAAATGCACTTGTTTTCTGGACGCGGCGGTGTCGACATGGCACCCATAGAGGAACAAGGCGCAATGTGGTGCTACGATCCCGCAAGCTCGTCATGGACGAAGATCACCCCAGCCGATTCATCAGCGCCCTATCCACCAGCACGCAGCTATCATTGCTCCACTAGTGATGGCAAAGAGACTTTCTTCCTCCATGCTGGATGTCCTGCAAAGGGGCGCCTATCCGACTTGTGGATGTTCAACATCAACAGCCGTACATGGACACAAGCACCAGATGCTCCAGGCTCCCAGTGTGGAGGCGCTTCAATCGCCTACCACGATGGCAAACTCTACAGAATGAATGGCTTCGACGGCAACACTGAACAAGGTGGCAGCATCGATATATTCGACATTGCTAACAACACGTGGTCCACTGATACTTTTGAAGCTGATGGCTACAACGGGCCTCAGGCCCGCAGTGTCTGTGTTCTGCTGCCAGTACGACTGGCTCGTAAGGATAAGCTCCTCACACTTTTTGGCGAACACGACCCTTCGTCACTGGGTCATGCTGGAGCAGGTAAGATGCTAGGCGATGTCTGGATCTACGATATCACCGAGAAATGGTGGACGCAGCTTCAACCTGAAGGCAGCGACGGTGTGCCTGACCCGCGTGGATGGTTTGATGCTGACGTTGTCAAGGCTGAGAGTGGTAATGATAGCATTGTCATTCATGGTGGATTGGGTGAGAATAATGAGCGACTGACGGATCTTTGGCAACTTGTATTCTGATCTGTGTGGCCTGAAATGTGGGTTACCTATTTTCTGAAAAAAAAAAAGAACAAAAAAACTGTTCCAACGCGTATTTGTAAGGCTCCGTATCATCATGTATCATTCAACGTTGGCCACAAAAGATATAGGCGTAGTGTGCTGACGAGACACTGATTCTACGACCGACTTGACTTGACCTTTTTTCTATGTTTGCTACATACCACTTACCTTTTTTCTCTATTTGTTATACAGCGTATCAGATCAATCATTTTAGGAAGAGATAGCAGTTTACACCCTAAACCTGCGAGAATCGGGTATTGGAAAAATTAAACTTTACAATTAAAGGAAAAGGTTAAAGGATAACTATAGGTAAGCATTTACGGCAGCGAGATCCTACTCTTAAAATCTAAATAATCGTTTAGTAATACAACTAAAAACTTGCCTTTTAACGGGTATGTGCCTACTAGGCACATCTCTGTTAGGTACGACAAATAAATTGCGGCTATGACCAACATAGTAGAACAGGGAACTATGGTTGCGATGAGAGAGCAGCACAATAAACTATAGTCGAGATAAGAACACACTGATTCTACGAATAGTCAAAGGGAAGTTGCTGTAATTTCTCAACCTGTCAATATACAAGTATACAGTACTGTCATAATTGGATGAACGGATGTTGCGCTTGTCAACGCTCAACCCCATTAGTGATTATATTCGATCAAAATTCGGGGTAGCAATCAATCTTTGATTCTAGTAATATATATGCCAAGCCCTCTACACAGAGACATATCCAGCGTTAGGTAAACTTACTGGAATGATCCTGTGAGTCGATATGAATCTATACAACCACGTTAGAGACTGCTTGACACTGCGACATCGCTTGTTTTCATCAAGGCTGAAATGTGTAAGTTTCTATT